TGAATACCAGTTCTTTCTTTCTTTCTTTTGTGTGACAGGGTCTCACTCTGTTGCCCAGCCTTCACCTCCTGGGCTCAAGCAATCCCTCCTGCCTCTGCCTCCCAAGTAGCCGGGACTACAGGCATGCACCATCCCACCTGAATAAATTTTTTGTTGTTGTTCTTTGTAGAGACGGAGTATCACTATATTGCCCAGGCTGATTTTAGAACTCCTAGGCTCAAGCGATCTTCCTTCCTCAGCCTCCCAAAGTGCTGGGATTGCAGGCGTGAACCACCGCACCTGACCCAGTTCTTTATCAGATATGTCTTTCACAAATATCAAACATTTCCTCCCAGTTTGTGGTTTGTCTTCTTATTCTCTTGAGTCAATTGATTTTTTTTTTTTTTTTTTTTTTGAGATGGAGTTTTGCTCTTGTCACCTAGGCTGAAGTGCAATGACACGATCTCGGCTCGCTGCAACCTCCGCCTCCCAGGTTTAAGCGATTCTCTTGCCTCAGACTCCCAAGTACCTGGGATTACAGAGGCCTGCCACCATGCCCAGCTAATTTTTGTATTTTTAGTAGAGATGAGGTTTCACCATATTGGCCAGGCTGGTCTTGAACTCCTGACCTCGTGATCCGCCCAGCTCAGCCTCCCAAAGTGCTGGAATTACAGGCGTGAACTACCGCGCCTGGCCGAGTGAATTGATTTTTGAGAAAAGTGCAAAGGCAATTCAGTGGTGAAAAGATAGTATTTTCTTTCTTTTCTTAAGAGATAGGGGTCTCTCTCTGTAACCCAGGCTGGAGCACAGTGGTGCAATCACAGCTCACTGCAGTCTCAACCTCCTGGGCTCAAGGGATCCTCCTGCCTCAGCCTCTCTAGTAGCTGGAACTACAGGCGTGCACCACTGAGGATAACGTTTTCAACAAATGGGGCCAGAACAACTGGATATCCATAGACCAAAAAAAAAAAAAAATTGATCCATACCTCACATCATATTAAAAAATTAACCCCAGCCAGGCACGGTGGCTCACACCTGTAATCCCAGCACTTTGGAAGGCCAAGGCAGGTGGATTACTTGAGCCCAGGAGTTGGAGACTAGCCTGGGCAACACAGTGAGACCCCATCTCTAAAAAAAAAAACACCAAAAAATTAGTCTATGAAAAGACATTCAACTTCACTCATAAGAAAAATGATCAAGGCTGGGCGTGGTGGCTCACACCTGTAATCCCAGCACTTTGGGAGGCCGAGGTGGGTGGATCACATGGTCAGGAGTTTGAGACCGCCTGACCAATATGGTAAAATCCTGTCTCTACTAAAAATACAAAAAAATGAGCTGGACGTGGTGGTGCGCCCCTGTAGTCCCAGCTACTTGGGAGGTTAAGGCAGAGGAATCACTTGAGCCTGGGAGGCGGAGGTTGCAGTGAGCCAAGATCGCACTACTGCACTCCAGCCTGGGTGACAAAGCAAGACTCCGTCTCAAACAAAAAGAAAAAAAGAAAAATGATTGAAACGACACTGAACCACCACTCACCCCTCAGACTGGCCAATTAAAAAAACTTGGCCCTGTGGGGTTGTAAAATGGGACCACCCTGTGGAGGGAACGTGGCAATACCCAATGCAACCAACGCACAGTCACCCCGCGGCCCAGCGCTGCCACACGTGGGAATTCACCCTAAAGACACACCTCGAACAATCTGAAAGTACAAAGGCACTCGGTTATTCATGGCAGCATTATCTGAATTTACAAAATATCGGGAATAACCTGACCGACTATAGAGAGGACAGCAGCTGAGGGAACTGCAGCCTGTCACATGGCAGAGCGCCAGCCACGTGGTTCTAAAAGACAGTGAGGGAAATCCTTGCGTCGACACCATGGTTTCCAGGAGAGAGTGTTATGTGAAAAAAACAATGTGTGGCTGGAAGCTCACGCCTGTCATCCCAGCACTTTAGGAAGCCAAGGCAGGGGGATTGCTGGAAGCTTAGAGTTCAAGACCATCCTGGGCAACGTAGCGAGACCCCATCTCTACAACAAAAACTTTTAAAAAATTAGCTGGGCTTGGTGGCACACACCTGTAGTCCCAGCTACTCGGGAGGCTGAGGTGGGAGGATGGCTTGAGCCCAGGAGATGGAGGCCACAGTGAGCTACGATTGCACCACTGCACTCTAGCCTGGGTAACAGAGCAAGACCCTATCTCTGAAACCAAACCAAAAAGCCAGAGTGCAGAAGAGCATATAAAGAATGCTCCGTCTGGGCCGGGCGCGGTGGCTCAAGCCTGTAATCCCAGCACTTTGGGAGGCCGAGACAGGCAGATCACAAGGTCAGGAGATCGAGACCATCCTGGCTAACACAGTGAAACACCCGTCTCTACTAAAAAAATACAAAAAAACTAGCTGGGCGAGGTGGCGGGCGCCTGTAGTCCCAGCTACTCGGGAGGCTGAGGCAGGAGAATGGCGTGAACCCGGGGGGCGGAGCTTGCAGTGAGCTGAGATCCGGTCACTGCACTCCAGCCTTGGCGACAGAGCGAGACTCCATCTCAAAAAAAAAAAAAAAAAAAAGAATGCTCCATCTAAGAAAGAGGAATACATGTGTATACGTTCATCTTTACAAAATAAAACACACGAGAAAACCAGGAGACAACTATGCTCAATACCAAACAGTGAGGAGGAGGTATGGGAGGGCTCCCTGCATCTGTCTTTAGGGGCAGTTTTGACATCTAGAAGGATGGTCACACTCTACAAACCTAACAGGACAGGTCGTGGGGTGTGGTGGGAGGCACAAGACTGAAAGCAAACGGGAAGAATGAACCCAGCTGTATTTCCAATGAAGGCACCACAACACTGATGGTGGAGAAGCCTATCCAAGGAACTCATGAGCACAGCACTTACGGCACCTGCAGTTGTGGGCAGGGAGTGAACTCCACACAATCCCGACCTCTTCATGGTGGGTTTGTTTTTGCAATCCTGTGGCAAAGCTGCGCTGGAGCTCTCGAGCAGGCGTGCGCTGGACCCCCCAGCAGAGGCCTGAGGACGCCGGACCCCCCAGCAGATGCCTGAGGATGCTGCTGCTGCTGGGAGCCAGGGTCCTCAGGGTGGAGATGGGGGCGGGGGAGAACCGTGCAAGGTGGGACAGAATCCGCGCACAGCTCTGAGCTGTTTCAGATCTGTACACGCATATTACATATGTACGTGTATGTCTGCATGTCGGCACGTCTGTTCTCCCTAGCTGTCCACAGAAAGGGCCTAAAGCTCAGGCACCCTGTGGCATCGAGCACACCTTGTGTCTAGATCCTGGTCTCTAATGCTGTTCCCCACCAAAGGGAGCCAAGCCCCAAAGAGCAATGCCCTGCCATGTCTGGTCATGAGGAGGTGCTTGAAGGAGAGGCGCGGCGCACAGGCAGAGCGTGGTAGGGTTCCCACCAGCAAATCTCGTACACTTTGAACACCAGGATAATTAAAGACAGGAGCAACTCACAGACCACTGAAGTCGGGAGGCAATCCCCATGTGGCCAGTGATAAAAGAGAACGAGCATGGATAACCACTGAATACCTGAGACACAGAGATGAATGGATGGGGGAGGGAGCCCATGTCTGTGGGATGCTGGGGCCGGGAAGCCTGCTCTCCAGTCCTCACCATCTGGCCTCTGTGGGAGTCAGGAAGTGTCTGCATAGATGTTCGCCAGATGCAATGGGAAAACCAGGAGGCATCAGGTGGACAGGCAGCCCTAGGGTACCTGGGCCAACAGCCGCAAGTTCTCAGAGCTCAGGAAGAAATGTCTTTATGCACGTGTGTGTACACACGTGTGGTGTGTGCATGCATGTGTGGTGTGTATGTATGGGGGTGTGCACGTGTGTGGTGTGTATGCATGGTGTGTGCATGTGTGTATGCATGGTACGTGTGCGTGTGTGGTGTATGCATGGTGTGTGCACGTGTGCATTGTGTGTGCATGTGTAGTGTGTATGCATGGTGTGTGAACCTGTGCACTGTGTGCATGTGTGTGTAGTGTGTACGCATGGTGTGTGCACATGTGCATTGTGTGTGCATGTGTGGTGTGTATGCATGGTGTGCACCTGTGCACTGTATGTGTGCGTGTGTGTAGTGTGTACACATGGTGTGTGCACATGTGCATTGTGTGTGCATGTGTGGTGTGTACGCATGGTGTGTGCATGTGCACTGTATGTGTGCATGTGAGTGTAGTGTGTACACATGGCGTGCACCTGTGCACTGTATGTGTGCGTGTGTAGTGTGTACGCATGTTGTGTGCACATGTGCATTGTGTGTGCATGTGTGGTGTATGCATGGTGTGCACCTGTGCACTGTATGTGTGCGTGTGTGTAGTGTGTACGCATGGTGTGTGCACATGTGCATTGTGTGTGCATGTGTGGTGTGTATGCATGGTGTGTGAACCTGTGCACTGTGTGCATGTGTGTAGTGTGTGCACACATGCAGTGTGTGCATGCATGTATAGTATGCATGGTGTGTGCACGTGCATTGTGTGTGCATGTGTTGTGTGTACGCATGGTGTGTGCACGTGTGCATTGTATGTGTGCATGTGTGTGTAGTGTGTATGCATGGTGTGTACATATGTGCAGTGTGTGTGCATGTGTGGTGTGTATGCATGGTGTGCACGTGTGCAGTGTGTGCATGTGTGTGTGTGTATGCAAGGTGTGTGTGCATGTGCATTGTGTGTGTATACGTGTAGTGTGTCTGCATGGTGTGTGCATGTGTGTAGTGTGTATGCATGTTGTGTGCATGAGTGTGTAGTGTGTATGCATGGTGTGTGCACATGTGCATTGTGTGTGTGCATGTGTGTGGTATGTGTGCATATGTGTGCAGCAGCACCTAGTCCCCTGTCTCCAGTGCCCAGCAGCATCACATGTACTTTGGAGCTTTATAAATGCATGGTCAGTGAAGCTGACAGCACCAAGCTGTCCCTTTACCATAACACCTGGAATAGTCACCTGTGATAAGCTATCACATAGGAAACATTTTTAAAAGTTCATTCTCATTATTTTCTGTAATCTTGAGAGGTTCCAATCAACATTTATTGTCTTACTCTTTTTCTCTCATTCCTTTTTGAATGTGTTTATCTCCTAAAATTTTATCTGTGATGGAGATGGGATGCCTGTGAATAAAAAAGTTGCAGTGGTGGCAGCAGGTCAGGGGGGCGGCAGGGGCCACCATGGTCTCCCCTGAGAGGGGGTGCTGTCTTAGGTGCCCCAAGAGGCCCTCTGGCAGCAGGCGTGGGGTGCTGCCAAACTACTGCTCCCCCCGGGTGGGCACGCCATGACACACGTGGCCTCTGGGCAGACAGGTGCCCAGGTGAGCCCGCTGCTCCTCATTAGTCATGAATGGCACCCGGTCTGGATGACAGATGACTGTCGCCCACCAGCCCTGAGCATGCCACCATCACCCTGGGCAGTGGTTCCCGGGGTGCCAACAAGACCTGGGCCCCTTGTTCTCTGGTGCTGTGAGCCCCAGGTGAGGCTGTGGAGGAGGCCCTGGCCCTGCTCTGGTGTCTGTGAGAGGCAGGTGCACAGTCCTTTGACTTGCTTGTCTGAATTGTCATAATTGTGCTGGAATTGTGCCAGAACACTCAGCTCCTGGAAGGCCTGTGGCTGCTGGGGGCTGCTTGGTCCCCCTCAGGACGGCCGGGGGAGCCTCTCCAGAAGCACCAGTTTTGTCTGCAGGTGGACGTTGAAGGGGGGCAGTTGGGTCAGGTTCAGACTCACACCTGTGGTGCCCACGATGCTGGCCAGGACCCAGTGTGTGTCCCTGTAGAGGGCCAGGAGCCCAGGGGCCGCCTCCATGAGGATGTGTGTGTACGCCAGCATGCCCGCCCCCGGCTGCACGTCCTCCCTCTTGTCATACCTGTGGGATGAGAGCCAGTGGTCCTGCCCAGGGCCCCAAATCGCCCCATCCCCCACCCCGGGTGCCAAGGGGCCCTCACATGGCTTCCAGGAGGGTTGTGCTGTGTGTGACTCCTACCTCCAGGCACTGTTGACTTCAAGAAACCGAGACACGCCTGTCTGGGCGGCTGCCACGTCAATGTGCAGAAGGACGTCTAGGAAAACCAGGCCTGCCGTGAGAGCCCAGCCCTGCGGTCGGAACCACATGGTCCCCAGGCAGCGCCTCCAGTACCCACCTGTCTGGGGGGGCACCAGCTGGTGCAGCCTCTGCATCGCGACGCCACCCGGGTAGTTGAAATGCGACACGTACAGGGCCGTGGCTGAGTAGGCGGCATTCACCACGAGGTGTCCGATCACAAGCAGAGACCCCGCTTTGTACAGCCAAGACTTTTTATAGTTATTCAGCCTGAGAAAAGAATGGTTACAGATCATAGGCAGAACGTGGTGACAATAAAGTTAATCTATCTACAAAACATAGTAGGAGCATAACCTGCTGTTCAACTTCTCCAAGTCATAACAAAGAGTTCACCACCAAATAAACAGATTAACCGGTAAAAGTAGTTAAGATACTGCCTCAAGAATTGTCTGTGAAATTCTACTTAAGATGCCAAATTAAACTTTAGATTAGATTTTTTTTTTCACTTTGTCCCCCAGGCTGGTGTGCATCGGCATAATCTCGGCTCACTGCAAGCTCTGCCTCCAAGGTTCATGCCATTCTCCTGCCTCAGTCTCCAGAGTAGCTGGGACTACAGGCACCCACCACCACGCCCGGCTAATTTTTTGTATTTTTAATAGAGACGGGGTTTCACCGTGTTAGCCAGGATGGTCTCGATCTCCTGATCTCGTGATCTGCCCGTCTCGGCCTCCCAAAGTGCTGGGATTACAGGCGTGAGCCACCACACTCGGCCTAGATGAGATTTTTAAAAATATATTTTCTGTTTTTTTGAGACAGTCTCACTGTGTCACCCAGACTGGAGTGCACTGGCATGATCTCAGCTCACTGCAACCTCCGCCTGCCAGGTTCAAGTGATTCTCCTGCCTCAGCCGCCCGCCACCATGCCCAGCTAATTTTTGTATGTTTAGTAGAGATAGGCTTTCACTATGTTGGCCAGGCTAGTCTTGAACTCCTGACCTCGTGATCTGCCTGCCTCAGCCTTCCAAAGTGCTGGGATGACAGGCATGAGCCACCACGCCCAGCCTAAAAATATATTTTCAAACAATCCCAAGTGACTGTGTAGGTCAGAGTGTCACCCGCGTGGCCAAGCCCACTTCCAGCAGGTGAGTGACCTCTGTGGCACAGGGTGCCGCTAGTTCTCTCACAATCGACTGTGCCAATCTCAGACTCCTAAGGCAGAGTTAGCAGCTGCCAGAGACTGCGTGGCCCACGAAGATGAGGTTCCTTATTAGCTGGTCCTTAACGGAAAAGCTTGCCAACCCTGGTCTAAACGCCATGAACCCCTGATCAAGACTCGCTCTCTTCCAAACCCACCAGGCTCCTCGGAGCCCTCTTCTCTGCACGCCCTGCCCTTTGCTATGGTTTGGATCTGCGTCCCCACCAAATCTCATGTCCAGCTGTGATCCCCAATGCTGGAGGTGGGGCCTGGTGGGAGGTCACTGGGCCATGGAGGTAGAGCCTTCAGGAATGGATTAGTGCCATCCCCTCCATGCTGTTCTCCTGATACTGAGTGAGTTCTCGAGATGTCTGCTTGTTTGAAAATGGGTGATGCCTCCCCTGTCCCTCTTCCTCCTGCTCTGGCCACACAAAACGTGCCTGCTTCCCTTTGGCCTTCCTCCATGATGGAAAGTTTCCCCAGGCCTCCCCGGAAGCTGCAGACACCAGTATCACACTTCCTATACGGCCTACGGAACCGCCAGCCAATCCTGTGCGGCCTGCGGAACCGCCAGCCAATCCTGTGCGGCCTGCGTAACCGCCAGCCAATCCTGTGCGGCCTGCCGAACCGCGAACCAATGAAGCCTCCTCTTTATAAATTATCCGGTCTCCGGTGTTTCTTGACAGCAGTGCGAGAGCAGACTAGTGCACCCGTGAACAAACTCTGGGGCCGTTCCTGAGCTCGAGGCCGCTCCTAGGATGACCCCAGCCTCCTAAGTGCCTGCCCCAAAGAGCTCAGCACTGCCAGGGCGTTCGCCCTTTGTTCCCGCCCAGAGCTGGAGCAGGCAGTCACTGCGGAAAGCTTGCACCCCCAGGACTGTGGCAAGGCCCTGGGCCCTGACGCCGGGGGGGAAGGCCTGCTCTTGCTCCCAGGGTGACCGGGCTGAGGACCTGACTTCGGAGGGGGACTTGCTCTACCCTGCACCCCCTCATTTAGACGCCCCAAGTTTGTCCTCCTCCGGATAAGGCCGACTGGCAGAGCGGGGGCCCTTGCATGGAGCAGCCCTCACGCCCAGCACACCAGGCCTCAGACACTCCTGCCTTTGGTTTCAGCAGAGCTGGGTCCAGTTCACACTGGATCTTCTTCCCTGCTAGAAAAGTCTGTCACCAAATACAATACATCTGCGCCACTCTCCCCGTCTTTCCCACCCTCTTTTCCATGACTCGGGCTGGGGTCTGCTCCCCCTTTAGCCCTGAGCCGACCCCTTGGACGAGAGGGAGCCAAAGGCACAGAAAAGCAGAGGCAGAGCTCCCAGGAGCCCCCACTGAGGCATGGCTACAGCAGCTGGAAAAGCCCCCAACCCAGGCATGGCCATGGCAGCTGGAGGAGCCCCCAAACCAGCACGGCCACGGCAGCCAGAGGAATCCCCAGGGGCCCCATGGAGGCATGGCCACGGCAGCTGGAGGAGCCCCCCAGCCTGGGCACGGCCATGCAGCCAGAGGAACCCCCAGTGAGGAACAGCCATGGCAGCTGGAGGAGCTCCCAGGGGCTCCACGGAGGCACGGCCACGGCAGCTGGAGGAACCCCTAGCGAGGAACAGTCACAGCAGCCAGAGGAGCTCCCAGGCCCAAGGGCAGTGCAGAGCAGTGGGAGCTGAGGGGCACCACCCCGTCCCCTGTAACAGGTGTCACCGGAAAGCACCTGACCGCTGCCTGGGATCAGGGACCGTGCTGTGGGACGTCCTCTCCAGCCAGAGTGGGCACCTCTCAGCACCTCAGGCCCCAGCCCTCCTGGCCCGCAGCCCTTTTACCCCTCAATGTCCAGTGTGGCCTGAGTTGGCCTTCTGTTCCCATCAAGGCAGCAAGCTCTGAATGGGCACAGAGCTGGCCAGCCTCAGCCCCGGGTCCTTCCCCAGCACCCACAGGGCCAGCAGTGATAGACTCTCCTGGACCTGAGCCCTAGGTCCTTCCCCAGCACCCACAGGGCCCAGCAGTGATGGACTCTCCTGGCTCCCTGAGGCTTGCGACACTGAGTGGCAGCTGCACTCAGACCACCCCACCCTCAGCCCAGGCAGTGCCCTCCCCAGGCCCTGGCAGGCTCCCAGCTCCACCTCCATCACCTGCTACCTTCAGTCCCTCCCCCCAGGAAGCCTGCCCACCCTCCACAGGACCCCGAGCCTGGGCCACACTGGGCCCTCTGTACCCAGCCACAGGCACCTCCCTGACCATCCCCCTCTTCCAGCCAGATGACCTGCCTTGACAAATGCCCTCAACCCTGAGGCCCTGTCAGGATGGCCATGAACGTCCTTCCTCCACCTAACCTGTCGCCCTCAGAGCCTCCCAGGCCTGGCTGCCCCTGCCCTCTGCCGTCGATACCTGTGTGAGTGTCCCTCCCCTGTGACAGAGATGGGGACCGCTGGTGCATCACCATATGTAGACCAGTCACCAAATTAACCCAAGACAGAGACCACCTGAGCAAAGCCCTCTGTCAGCAGGTCGCCAGGCCGGCCCATCCCATGCAGACCTCAGGGAGGAGAGAGGACTGGGGCCACCCTCTTTTGACATAAGCGCCTAATTCAACACGCCCTGTGTTTATCTTAAAAAATAGTTGGTAGGCCGGGCGCGGTGGCTCAAGCCTGTAATCCCAGCACTTTGGGAGGCCGAGACGGGCGGATCACAAGGTCAGGAGATCGAGACCATCCTGGCTAACATGGTGAAACCCCGTCTCTACTAAAAATACAAAAAAACTAGCCGGGCGAGGTGGCGGGCGCCTGTAGTCCCAGCTACTCGGGAGGCTGAGGCAGGAGAATGGCGTAAACCCGGGAGGCGGAGCTTGCAGTGAGCTGAGATCCGGCCACTGCACTCCAGCCTGGGCGACAGAGCGAGACTCCGTCTCAAAAAAAAAAATAAATAAATAAAATAAAATAGTTGGCCGGGCGCAGTGGCTCAAGCCTGTAATCCCAGCACTTTGGGAGGCCGAGACGGGCGGATCACGAGGTCAGGAGATCAAGACCATCCTGGCTAACACAGTGAAACCCCGTCTCTACTAAAAAATACAAAAAACTAGCGGGCGAGGTGGCGGGCATCTGTAGTCACAGCTACTCCGGAGGCTGAGGCAGGAGAGTGGTGTGAACCCGGGAGGCGGAGCTTGCAGTGAGCTGAGATCCGGCCACTGCACTCCAGCCTGGGCGACAGAGCAAGACTCCGTCTCAAAAAAAAAAAAAAAAAAAAAAACCGCCCCGGTGGCTCACACCTGTAATCCCAGCACTTTGAGAGGAGGCAGGAGGATGGCTTGACTCCCTAGGAGTTGAGGGGTGCAGTGAGCCATGATCGCTCTGCTGCACTCCAGCCTGGGTGACAGAGCAAGACCCTGTTTCAAAACTTAAACACACACATACACCCCCCACACAGTAAATCAGTGAACCTGTTTCCAATGAAACTAAAAATGCATGTCACAAAAAGAGTGCTCACAGGTAGGAGCAGCCTCTGGCAGCTGTGATGTTGAGAGCAGGGAAGGCATAGATGATGAAGCGTAGCTCCTTGTGCGGCAGGAGGGAGTAGAGCGCCACGAAACCCAGTGCCAGCACCGTCAGTGCGTGCGTCCTTCTGTCCACCAAGCCCAGGGGGACGAAGAGCAGGCTGCAGCCCAGGCCGCGGGGCAGGGCTGAGTAGAAGTACCACAGCAGTGGGGAGGTCTGCGGGCTGGGTTAAGGAGGCCATGCACCTGTCCACACATGAGCCCACGGGCTGGGTGGCGGGGTCAAGGCAGAGAAGATGCCTGAAGACAGTTGTGCTGAGAGATGCAGCCTGGGCCATGGCTCGCGTGCACAGACACCACTCAGACCCCAGGCCCCCTCCTGAAAGATACACCCAGGCCACGGCATGGGTGCACACATACCACTTGGGCTTCGGGCCCCCTCCAGGCAGGACCAAGGCAGAAAGGGCCGCAGGATGTTCGGTCTCTGCACCCTTTTCTTCACTGTTAAAAACAGATGGTCAGCCAGGCGCAGTGGCTCACGTATGTAATCCCAGCACTTTGGGAGGCCAAGGTGGGCGGATCACGAGGTCAAGGAATCGAGACCATCCTGGCCAACATGGTTAAACCCCATCTCCGATACAAATACAAAAATTAGCTAGGCGTGGTGGCAAGTGCCTGTAATCCCAGCTACTCAGGAGGCTGAGGCAGGAGAATCACTTGAACCAGGGAGTTGGAGGTTGCAGTGAGCCGAGATCGTGCCATTGCACTCCAACCTGGCAACAGGGTGAGACTCTGTCTCAAAAAACAAACAAACAAACAAAAACAGATGGTCACGGGTGACACACATGTTGGGGATTTGTTATACTATTCCATCTACGCATGTACATTTGACATACTTCCTAAGAAAGTGCTTTTTAAATGCAGATTGTCCAGGCCAGGTGTGGTGGTTCACACCTGTAATCCCAGCACTTTGGGAGGCCGAGGTGGGCAGATCACTTGAGGTCAGAAGTTCAAGACCAGCCGGCCGGGCGCGGTGGCTCAAGCCTGTAATCCTAGCACTTTGGGAGGCCGAGACGGGCGGATCACGAGGTCAGGAGATCAAGACCATCCTGGCTAACACGGTGAAACCCCGTCTCTACTAAAAATACAAAAAATTAGCCGGGCGAGGTGGCGGGCGCCTGTAGTCCCAGCTACACGGGAGGCTGAGGCAGGAGAATGGCGTAAACCCGGGAGGCGGAGCTTGCAGTGAGCTGAGATCCAGCCACTGCACTCCAGCCCGGGCGACAGAGCGAGACTCCGTCTCAACAACAACAAAAAAAAAGAAGTTCAAGACCAGCCTGACCAACATGGTAAAACCCCATCTCTACTAAAAATACAAAAATTAGCCAGGCATGCTGGCGCGCGCCTATAGTCCCAGCTACTCGTGAGGCTGAGGCAAGAGAATTGCTTCAACCAGGGATGCAGAGGCTGCAGTGAGCTGAGATCACACCACTGTACTCCAGCCTGGGCGACAGAGCCAGACTCGGTCTCAAAAAAAAGAAAAAAAAAAAAAAGGGCAGATTGTCCAAGGAGCAGAAGAGAGGCTGGGTTAATCTGGGGCGGGGCTGTTTCCACAGGACTGAGAGAGGGCAGCCGGGACCTCACCGCCCATGGTCAGCATTTCCCAGGAGCAAGTGGGAGGGAGGGGCTCCATCCTGACCCTGCGGCCAGGCTGCACAGAAGGGAGAAGCAGCTGCTTCCACCACCCAAGGAGGCCCAGGAGGTGTGGCTGGGGGTCCCACCCATCGCCCTCCTGCACGGACACTGAAGGATACCCCCCAGTTGGCGCTTTTGTTCAGGACAGTGTTGTACCAAAACACCTTTCCTTCTGGCCACGTGAGCTGCCGCCAAAAATAAGAGTCCACGGCAACCGTCAGTCCTGATAAAATAAAATAGTTTCTTACTTGCAAACACAGCCATCAGTAAACATCCCGCCACAGTGCAGCCCCCATCACTACAGAAACTACAAGCTGCTTTCAAAGCAAAGAGGTTGGGCTGGGTGGGAAGATTGCTGGAGCCTAGGAGTTGGAGGTTGCAATGGACCACGATCACGCCACTGCACTCCATCCTGGGTGACAGAGCAAGCTCTCTCTAAAACAAAGAATAGAAAAAAGACGCCAGCTGTGTTGAGGACACCACTGCCCAGAACCACCGCCTGGCGCAGGGACAAGCCACGCTCTGCTCTTGTGGGCTCCCCCAGCCCAAGGACAAGGCACAGACCAGTGCACGGGGGCTCCCAAGGTGCAGAGTGGGGCCCCCTGGAGACCCCGGGCAGGAGGCTTAGGACTGAAATGTTTTAACACTGCTAAAGTTAGAGTCATTTTATTTCATGGGGATGAAAACGTCCCAAATTTCTCTTGACCTTTGTAAAACAAGGCAAAACAAAATCCAGTTAGAAGCATCCCGCAGCGACTGACTTACCTAAACAGAGGATCCCCGCCGGGATGGCGTGGCGAAGGGCTCTGACTACAGAAATCTTTCGGTTGCTCAAGGCCAGCAGCAGCAGGAGGCCCAGGAACAGGCACAGCTCCGCCCTGAACACGATGATGGTGAAGGCTGACAGCCAGATGAAGCGGGCCCACTCGTGCCGCAGCCAGGCTGCCAGGGCCAGCAGGACTGCAAGACAGCGCGGGAGGGTGCCCATCAGACACAGGGCCCACCTGGCCCAGAAAACACCCTGGGAAGCAAAGGGACCTTGCTCTAACCAGCAGCTGTTCCTTTTCTTATCATAAAAGTCACACAAATATCCCAGAAAACAAACTGCTCAGAGCCGCCCCCTGCACCCACGCTGTTGGCTAGGAAGTGCATCCCAACCCAGCAGGGAAAACAAAGAGCCCGGTTTCAGGTCACGGACCATCCTGAGGAGCCCAGCGGGGAGTGGCCATCACAAGGGAGGCGCTGTCATCAGCCGGGGAGCCCCTGACTCAGGGGAGCCCCTGCCCAGCACCATGGTCGTGCAGGCACAGCCGGCAGCTACGTACCTACGGGCAGGGCCAGCACGTTGGGCAGTGTCCGCGTGCAGTAGAACATCAGGTGGAACTGCACGGCCGTCACCCAGCAGAACATGGTGGCCACCATGGCCCCAAACTGCCGTCTCACTTCCTTTTGTAACGTCCAGAGTCCAAAAATCACGCCGAGTCCGAGCACTCCTCTAACTAAACAAAGACAGTGACAGCACGTGAGCCTGTCGCGGAGGAGCATCCAGTGGGTCCTCCTACGTGAGTCCTCCTATGTGGATCCTTCTACACATATCTTTCTATATTGATTTTTCTATGTTGCTGCAACGCCAGCTGACGGCCATGTCAGGCAAAGCAGCCTTGAGGGCATTGTCTCCATGTCTAAGACAGACGTCTGGCCCCAGGCCCCCTGCGCTCCTGTCGGGAACTGAAACGCCCAAGCCTGGTGCCACGAGGGCTCTTGCGGGGGCTGCTCTCTGAAGCATGAGGGAGGACACGGAACTTGGGGGTGCTACAAGCTGAGCCCCACACTAAACCAGAGACCCCATCGGGCTGTGGCATCTCCAGGGGCAACGTTTGCAAGGGCCGGGCTCAGACCTTGCTCTAACCAGCAGCCGTGAGGAGGTGGGACGTGGCGGGAACACAGGCTCCCAGGCAGGAAGGGGGTCAGGACCCCTCTCCCCATTCAACAGCGGGAGCCACCTCTGGGCTGGTGGTCTGAGGAGGAGGCGGTGAGGGGGCAGGTGTGCCCAGGACAGTACCCAGCCGACCACACATCCTCACCGTGGACTGGCCTGTCAGCCGCTGCCAAGAGAGGCTGAAAACAGGAAGAAAAATGAACTCCTGGGTATCTCTCGCCACCTTTCCGGAAGGCCAGAGGGACTTCGAAGCCCCCATGTGAGAGGCAACTGGGTCCAGGCAGCTGTGGGGGCCAACAGGCAGAGATACGCAGGCATTGCAAGGGGGCCACAGACGTCTGAGCGCTGGACCTGCTGTTCCCAGAACACCCCGTAAGCACACCGGGCATTTTCTTTTCACTGATTGCTGGATTCAGACTGCAAATGTCTTTTTTTTTTTTTTTTCTTTTTTCTTTTTAAGGACAGAGCTTCCCTCTGTTGCTCACGCTGGAGTGCAGTGGCACAATCTCGGCTCACTGCAACCTCTGCCTTCCGGGTTCAAGCAATTCTGCTACTTCAGCCTCCCGAGTAGCTGGGATTACAGGCACACGCTGCCATGCCCAGCTAATTTTTGTATTTTTAGTAGAGACAATGTTTCCCCATGTTGGCCAGGATGGTCTCAAACTCCTGACCTCAGGTGATGCCCCTGCCTCGGCATCCCGAAGTTCTGGGATTACAGGCGTGAGTCACCGCATCTGGCCTGAATGTCTCAACAGGACATTTTTCCCTGATACCCAGGAGTGGGTCTGGCTCCAGCTGCTGCATTTTTGGTGCTGGAATTCCCCCTGGGCTTTTAAACAATTCACAGACCCCGGCAAAGCCCCACTTCCCCTTTTTCCCATCAGGTCCATCCCCTGCGTCTCTTCTCTTGGTTTTCCATCTTCCCAAATGCCCAGCAATCTCAATGCCGTGCCCAACAAGGGCAGCCTCAGCTCCAGGATCAGCCTCGGCCCCAGGATCAGCCTCGGCCCCAGGATGACCTTCAGTCCCAGGATGACGTGATCTTCATCCAGGGAGGAAGGATTTTGGCCTGTGGCAGGGGCTGGCGGGGGCGGGGCACTAGCAATTCCAGGTCATCTTAGTGGGATCAGGAAGGACCCAGGGTGGGCTCCCGTTCACCGGCTGAAGCTGCAGCCCTCCGAGTTTCTGTCCAGCCGGAGTCTGCCCAGCTCTGCCCAACCTCCCGGCCTCTTGCTGCCACCCCTGGAATACGCAGAAGCTTCCAGGGGAATGTGGACTCAGCCCTGGGATTGCCTGTGGACTTCCTTTCCCGGGCTCATGGCCCCCCAACTCCTCCCCATCTGGGGCTCCCTGATGCCTCCACAGGACACGCACGGCTTGTCCAGCTGTCCCCATGCCATGGTGGGTTTCCATTCCCAATCTGCCCTTCAAGAAGCAGAACTGCTGCTTCCCCAGGAATGTGCGGCTTCTTAACGCTCTCCATGCAGGCTGGACAGACTCACTGCAAGCATGTCTGGGTATTAAATCAATAAAAATGTACCGAAATGAAAAAGTGGTGATTGCTGACTTTAAAAACTCAGGTTGTGTGACTGGACATGGTGGCTCACGCCTGTGGGAGGCTGAGGTGGGACGATCACTTGAGCCCAGGAGTTCAAAGCTGCAGTGAGCTATGATTGCACCACTGCACTCCAGCCTGGGTGACACAGCAAGGCCCTGTCTCAAAAAAAAAAAAAAAAAAAAAAAATCGGTTTTCAGAACAATATGTAATATGTACAAAATGTCCTAAAATTGTTTTTTTTTTTAGTCCTCATGTGGGCACAGAGAAAGACCCAGGATTTGCACATGGGCCCTGCAGTGGCGGCCTCTGGGAATGCGAGGTTTCTGTTTGTAACGTTCCCCAAGGCAAATGGTGCTGTTTCTGCAGGAATAAAGGCTGTTGACCCCATTGGGGTTCGCCAGGTGAGGCGGGAGCAGCAGGCTCAGGTGGTGAGAGCTGCGTCACAGACAGACGGCACTTCTCTTGTACCTGCCCTGGGGAGTGAGTGCCGTCATCCCTCATTTCCCTGTCAAGAGTGTGGAGGCACAGAGGGGCTGGCTCAGATGTCCCAGCCTGACCTGAGTGCCTGCTCTGAGCCGCCATGCCACGGTGATCGAGGGCAGGCAAGACTGTAACAGACAGCGTTCCTGGGCGGGGGGACCGCGGCCTCGCTGAGGTCACCTGATGACACCATGATCCCTCACTCCCTCCTCCTTTGTTGAAGACTCTCTTACCTACTAGCTGAGAGTAAAACCTGCACCATGGTCTTCACTCCCTCCTCCTTTGTTGAAGACCCCCTTACCTATTAGCTGAGAGTAAAACTTGGACATTTCTAACAGCGAAAGCACGTAAACCGCGGGGCTGGAGAATGCCGCGATCACCACTGGCCCGAGGAACGTCCTGGGGACGACTCCGGGGAACTCGAGATGGTCGTACTGTGAGGAGAAGGGCAGGTCAGTGCACCGGGGCCCTGCCAGCTGGTAACATGAGGTTTTCCCCAAGGACAGCAGGGGCCCCTCACCTGTTCCAGGTCTCGCCAGTGGTACAGCAGGTCATGTGTGGCCTGCAGGTTGAAGCTCTCCTCCACTTTGGTGTAGGGACAGGTGACCAGGTGGACAGTGGCTACGGCCACCAGCAACCCCAGCAGCAGGGGACGCCTGCCTGATGACCCCTTTCCAGCCATTCCAGGCTTTCAGTTTCACGTACCTTCACAGGGCAGGGTGCGAGACACCAGCCGTTAGTACTGCCACTCCATGCATGCTGGAAAAGTGAAAACAGATTCCTGAGTTTTGAAAGTCATGCTTGTGCTCGTTTGTGAGATCTGGGTAAAGAGTTAGCAGGAATTCTCTGAACTACTGTCTTAGTTGCATTACCACAAATCTGAAAACGCATAAAGATGGAAAGTTCGGGGAAAAACATCACACTTGAGAAGCTTTCATATTGCAACCAGTGATCTGACACTTTCAGCTCTGTGCATGTTTTTTGGGGGAGAAGGACCTCAGCAGCAGAACCTTGAGTCCGAGCAGGCCTGGGCCACCAGGGCAACGGAGGTTGGTAAATGGCCCCTGCCCTCCGGTCTAAATGAGGCAGGAGAGTCAGCAAAACCCAGGCTCGGCCCCGAGGGAACTGGCTGAGGAAGACGGAATGGGAGGCTGACGGGGGCTGGTTAGCTGAGTGGGAGGCACAAAGCTGGAGGGTGGCAGACGGGGGCCCCAGGGGGGTGGGAGGCTGAACGCAGTACAGCTGCCGGGACACAGGGCTCAAGTGGTCAGCAAAGCCCCTACTCCCAGGAATGGCGGGATGCGGCTGTGGATGCCGGGATGCGGCTGTGGATGCCGAGATGCGGCTGTGGATGCCTGCGCCGAACCCCACCCTAGGGGCTGGGAGAAGCCATGGCAGGCTTTCCCAAAGGTGGCACCACACCGGCCATGAGCCTGTGTGTGAGCCTGGGGAGACTGGCAATGGGTCCCCCAAATACTAACAGGACAACTGCAGGGGCCCGTGGCACACAGCTTCCTGAGAGGCCAGCAACACGTCCAGCTGCTACACGTGAAAGGCCGAGGGAGGGAAGCGGGCAAATTCTTCACGTTTCTGGATTCTTTTAAAACACGTTTGATTTTATTCAGTCCAAACCAGAAGAGCCAGAAGCAAAGGGAGAGAGAGCCCCAGCGCTTATCGTTTGTTAAAACTACTTAAAAAAAAATTTTTTTTTTTTTAAGAGACAGCGTCTCACTCTGTCTCCCAAGCTGGAGTGCAGTGGCGTGATCGTGGCTCACTGTAGCCTCAGACTCCTGGGATCCTTTTGCCCCAGCCTCCTGAGTAGTTGCAGCTACAGGTGTGGGTCACCACACTCAGCTAAATTTTCTTATTTTTTATAAAGACAGGGTCTTGCTTTGTAGCCCAGGCTGGTATGGAATTCCTGGCTTCAAGCAATCTTCCCACCTTGGCCTCCTGAAGCGTTGGGATTACAGGCATGGGCCACCGTGCCCAGCCAAAACTACCTTTTGATCAAATGGAGACTTAAGAAGTCTACAATGATGGCAACCAAAAGAAAATCTGTAGATTAGAAGGAAGAGGAACCCTATTTGGTATGGTGGGCAGGGAGTGGACAGAAAGAGAAAAGAAAGTTTTAATAATTTTACAATGACTAAAATGGTATGCAGTTCTTTCCTTTGCCAAATATAAAAACCTGGGGCCAGGTGTGGTGGCTCATTCCTGTAATCCCAGCACTTTGGGAGGCTGAGGTGGGCAGATCACGAGGTCAGGAGATCAAGACCATCCTGGCCAACATGGTGAAACTCTGTCTCTACTAAAAATACGAAAATTAGCTGGGCGTGGTAGCGCATGCCTATAATCCCAGCTACTCTGGAGGCTGAGGCAGGAGAATCGCTTGAGTCCGGGAGGCAGAGGCTGCAGTGAGCCAAGATTGTGCCACTGAAATCCAGTCTGGGCCACAGAGCAGGACTCTGCCTCAGAAATAAAAAAGAAAATAAATAAATAATAAAAAACTTAAAAAAATAAACTTGGTATCAAAGAGAAAGGCTGAAGAACTAGGTTAGGAGTCACTGTCCACCAGATGAGGGAGCACCACTCAGCTGTCTCCCACTTGCTAAGACACAAGCTTTATGACGGTGGGGGGTTTTTGATGCTGGATTATTTTTCCCACCAGTGCAGCCTCCGCACTGCACTGGTGGGAAAGAGGCCAGCCTCTGTGGCCTGAAGGCTGCCTCTCTGCCACCTCTCCTGCTAGACTCATCCTGTGGGCAGGGCTTGTTTGGTGGACTCACCGCTGAATCAGCAGAGCCTGCCGCACAGTAGGCACTCAACAAGGCTGCCGAAGAAGAAATAGGTAAAAACTCTTACACAGGGATCTCATCACACCAGCCCAAGTGCTTATTACAAATATGTTCCAGCGGCCGGGAGCGGTGGCTCATTCCTGTAATCCCAGCACTTTGGGAGGCCGAGGCAGGCGGATCACAAGGTCAGGAGATCGAGACCATCCTGGCTAACATGGTGAAACCCCGTCTCTACTAAAAATACAAAAAATTAGCCAGGCGTGGTGGCGTGCGCCTGTGGTCCCAGCTACTTGGGAGGCTGAGGCAGGAGTATTGCTTGAACCTGGAAGGCAGAGGTTGTAGTGAGCGGAGATTGCGCCACTGCACTCCAGCCTGGCGACTGAGTGAGACTCCATCTCCAACAAAAAATATGTTCGTGCTTTGATTTCAACTTTCGAAGGCATGAGAAGACCAAGGGTGAGTCTAGATTCTCTGCCAGAAGCATGGAAAGACCAAGTCGACACTGGCAAGCGTGAAAACCATGACCAACCCCCCCACTGGGCGAGGGTGAGTGGACGCTGTCCTGCACTAGTCCACTCTGCTCGGCAGCTGGTCAGCAGCTGTGGCTAATCTAAGTGACAGGTGCCTCGGGAGCACCTACAGGTTAAAACAGGCCCAGGCCATGACATTTTATTTTTTATTTATTTTTCTACTTTTTGTGAGACGGAGTCTCGCTCTATCGCCCAGGCTGGAGTGCAGTGGCGCGATTTCAGCTCACTGCAAGCTCCGCTTCCCGGATTCACGTCATTCTCCTGCCTCAGCCTCCTGAGTAGCTGGGACTACAGGCACCCACTACCATGCCTGGCTAATTTTTTTGTATTTTTTAGTAGAGACAGGGTTTCACCGTGTTAGACAGGATGGTCACGATCTCCTGACCTAGTGATCCGCCCACCTTGGCCTCCCAAAGTGCTGGGATTACAGGTGTGAGCCACCACGCCCAGCTGGCTATGACACTTTAAAATGGTGGTTTACAGAACAATGGCATTTCAGATTAGGGAATGACCTGCAATGGCTCTCTTGCCCCATCAATCCAGATTTTAAGGCCTCTACTGAAGTTGATCAAATCAGGCCAGGCATGGTGGCTCACACCTGTAATCCTAGCACTTTGGGAGGCTGAGGCAGGCAGATTGCTTGAGGTCAGGAGTTCGAGACCAGCCTGGCCAACATGGTGAAACCCTGTCTCTACTAAAAACACAAAAATTAGCCGGGCCTGGTGGTGGGTGCCTGTAATCCCAGCTACTTAGGAGGCTGAGGCAGGAGAATCACTGGAACCTGGGAAGCAGAGGTTGCAGCGAGCCGAGATTGCACCACTGCACTCCAGCCTGGGTGGCAGAGTGAGGCTCCGTCTCAAAGAAAAAAAAAAAAAGAAGAAAGAAAAGAAAAGAAATTGGTCAAATCAGATGTTACCTTTTTTTTTTTTTTTTTTTTAATTGAGACGGAGTTTCACTCTTGTTGCCCAGGCTGGAGTGCAGTGTCATGATCTCGTTCAATGCAACCTCCAATTTCTGGCTTCAAGTGATTCTCCTGGCTCAGCCTCCAGAGTAGCTGGGATTACAGGCATGTGCCACCACGCCCGGCTAATTTTTGTATTTTTTTAGTAGAGACAGGGTTTCACCACATTGGCCAGGCTGGTCTCGAACTCCTAACCTCAGGTGATCTGGCCACCTTAGCCTCCCAAATTGCTGGGATTACAGGCATGAGCCACTGCGCCTGGCCCAGATGTTACTATTACTAATAATAATCATTAGCCTCTCAGCAGGAAACACAAATGGTCTGATGCAAATCACAGCTGCTGCCCATCAAAGACCAGAAAAAGCCATGTTATCTGCACTCCTTCCTTCCAGACAGGAGTTCTGTGAAATCCAGACACTGCACATTTCCCCTAATTTAAACCAGGGGTTCCTGAACATTAGCGAGTGTTCATCACCTCAAGCGCCTGTAGAAATGCAGATCCCCAGCCCCCAAAGACACTGAGTGGACCCCAGCCCCAGGTGGAAAGTCCAGCCCCCAGGTGAAAAACCCATCCCCCAGGTGGGAGGTCCAGCCCCAGGTGAGAGGTCCAGCCTCCGGGTGAGAGGTCCGACCCCCGGGTGAGAGGTCCAGCCCCAGGTGGGGAGCCCGACCCCAGGTGAGGGGTCCAGCCCCAGGTGAGAGGTCCAGCCTCCGGGTGAGAGGTCCGACCCCCGGGTGAGAGGTCCAGCCCCAGGTGGGGAGCCCGACCCCAGGTGAGGGGTCCAGCCCCAGGTGAGAGGTCCAGCCTCCGGGTAAGAGGTCCAGCCCCAGGTGGGGAGTCCGACCCCAGGTGAGGGGTCCAGCCCCAGGTGAGAGGTCCGGCCCCAGGTGGGGAGCCCAGTCCCAGGTGAGGGGTCCAGCCCCCAGGTGACAAGTCCAGCTCCAGGTGAGAGGCCCGGCCCCCAGGTAACAGGTCCAGCCCCAGGTGAGGAGCCCGGCCTCAGGTGAGGGGTCCAGCCCCCGGGTGACAGGTCCGGCCCCAGGTGAGGAGCCCGGCCCCAAGTGAGGGGTGCAGCCCCAGGAGCACCGGGCTGTGACGCGTGGACATACGCGGTGAGGTCTCAGGAATCCAACGCCAGCGCCAGCTCGGGTCGCGCCCCCGCCCGCCTCCTCCCTGGTCTCGCCGCGCGCCCGCCTGAGGGCCCCGGTCGCGGCAGCGCGCACTGACCTCCGCAGCTCCCGGCGGCGTCCTTCGGAACGCGGCTGCCTAGGCCGGCCTCGGCAGGAAGCGGGACGGCGGAAACAGAACAGAGCGAAGCCTTTGCCCGAATCTAAAGCGGCCACCGCAACCCTGGCAGCTGCGGCCGCGAGGACCCTCTGTGCCCTGAGTAAACATGGCCGCCGCGGGCTGCGCGCAAGGGGCGGGGCGCGGGAGGCGGGGTTGGACATGCACGCCCCGCCCCCGGCTTCCCCGCGGACGCTGACCCGGGGCCTTCCCATTGGTTGCCTCTCGTGGCGAGCTCGGATTGGTCCACATCAGGCCGGGGCGGGTCCCATCGACCAATAGCGGCTCGGGGCTGGCGAGCGGGGCGGGGCCTCGCCGGCACCGTCAAGTAGCCAGGGGGACCGGCCGGCGCGGCTGGGAGCGGGTGGGCGGCCGAGAGGCCGGAGCCGCGCGGCCGCAGGACCTGGAGCTCCGGCTGCGTCTGCCAGCAGTGCTACCCGCCATGCGCCTGCCTCGCCGGGCCGCGCTGGGGCTCTTGTCGCTTCTGCTGCTGCTGCTGCCCGCGCCGGAGGCCGCCAAGAAGCCGACGCCCTGCCAGCGGTGCCGGGGGCTGGTGGACAAGTTTAACCAGGTGGGCAGGGGCCGGGCGGGGTCGTCCACCGTGGGCCCGGGGTCCACCTCACCCTGGATCCGGGGTTGCCCCACCTTGGGCCCGGGGTCCCCCTCACCCTGGAGCCAGGGTCGCCCTCACCCTGGATTCGAAGTCCCCCTCACCCTAGACCTGGGGCCCCCCTCACCCTGGATCCGGGGTCGCCCCCACCGTGGGCCTGGGGTCCCCCCACCGTCGATCCAGAGTCGCCACTCCGTAGTCCTGGAGTCCCCCTCACCCTCGACCCAGGATCCACCCCCGCCGTGGACCCAGGGTTGACCCCACCGTGGGCCTGGGGTCCCCTCACCCTCGACCTGGGGTCGCCCTCACCCTGGGCGGGGGGTCAGGTGGTACCAAGCCCTATGGGCACTGTCTCCTCGCAGGGGTTGGTGGACACCGCAAAGAAGAACTTTGGCGGCGGGAACACGGCTTGGGAGGAAAAGACGCTGTCCAAGTATGAGTCCAGGTGGGCGCTCTGGAGCAGCCCTGTGGGTCTTGGCCTGACCCTGTCCTGGGAAGCCGTGTCCTGCCTTTGGTGCCTGTGTTAATAACAGGGAGACAGAACAGCCCCCGAGGCACCAGTCACCTGTCTGAGTTGCCTTGGCTTCTGCCTGAGGACTAATGGCTGGATCCTCTCTGGCCTTCCAGCTTCTGCTCTGGTCCCTACCCCCTCAACAGACAGTGGCTTTTTAAAATGTAAACTGGAACACCAGCCCCACTTGTGTGAACCGCTCCTGGCCCCCTGACAGTGGGGTCCCCTTACTCTCTCTGCCTGGAATCCCGGCCCCCTCCCCTGCACCCGGGCTGGTGTGTTGGTTCGGATTTTTCTTCACTGGCTTGTGGCGCTGACCGTGGGCCCTCGTGGGCCTGTGTTTCAGCGAGATTCGCCTGCTGGAGATTCTGGAGGGGCTGTGCGAGAGCAGCGACTTCGAATGCAACCAGATGCTGGAGGCACAGGAGGAACACCTGGAGGCCTGGTGGCTGCAGCTGTGAGTGCCTTAAAACCTCTTAGAAGATACTTTTTATTTTCCAACTTAGAATTTGAAATAACCTCAGACTTAGAAAGATACGGGAACAGTATGGAGCTCCCACCTGCCTCGCACCCACCTTACCCCTGCATTACTGTTTTTTATCACCAGGGTCAGTGATCAAAACCAGGAAATTAACGAGAAGACTCTGTCCACACCTAGACTCTTGTTTCCTGGATCTTGCAATACTCTAGAGCCTATGTTATGTTCAGCTGCATGTTTGTTTTAAAGAGCTGTGTCTGGTGGGATTCAGTGAATGTTTTCCTCCATCCTCAGGAAGAACGAGTATCCTGACTTATTCGAGTGGTTTTGTGTGAAGACGCTGAAACTGTGCTGCTCTCCAGGAACCTACGGTCCTGACTGTCTCGGTGCGTTTCTGCTTAGGGAAATCCCATCTCCTACGTCACTTCCCCTCTTCGTCTCACAATTCTTGGGGGATGAAAGCACAGAGGGGACCTGGGGGACCTCAGCTTTCTGTAGGGTCTGGGACCCTGCCGGACGGCTGCCTCCCCCATCCCCAACCCAACTTGGAGCACTTCGCACCCTCCCGCTGCAGCCTCACCACTCACCTCACGCTTTAGTGTAAAACTGAGTATGTCATCCCAGCTGTGCTGTTAACTCAGGGGTTCACTGACTCAGGTTGTTCACAGCTGAGTCCACTCACCTGAGAGTCTGTCCTGACTGACCTGTCCAGGGGCTTCTCCCTGTGTGCACAGAGGGGACCACACCACGGCTTCTGTGGCTGCCATTGCAGAGAGCCCAGGGCAGTAGGTGTCTATCAGGCTGGGTGCACGGCCTTGAGCCTTAATGGGTGCTGCAGGACAGGGCTCTTCTGTGAAGAAGTGTGCAGAAACTGAAGCCACGGTTTAACGTTTATAAAAGGCAATCACGTGGTCAAGCAGGATCAGGTAGCAGAAGTTTCAGGTTTAGACCCCCGACCTGCCCCCCCTCAGCCTCCTGCCAGCCTCTGCGTCTATCCCTGGCGAACACTGGAGGCTGCAGCTGATGTTCCCACTCTCCCTGCAGTCTCCGCCCCTGATGCATCGGTGTCCCCATCACCATGTTTCAGCTGAGGCTGCCCAAAGCCACACAAAGTGCAGTCATGCATAACGACCAGGCATGTTCTGAGAAATGCACCATTAGGCGACTTTGTCATGGTGCCAACATGGCAGAGTGCACTCCACACGCCTAGGTGGTGCAGCCGCTCCGCACCTAGGCTGCCTGGCAGGGCCTACTGCTCCCAGGCCGTACACCCGCGTGGCACGTGAGGGTGCTGAGTACTGTGGGCCATTGCGACATGTGGTAAGAATGTGTCACCTGAATACATCTAAACATAGAACAGGTAATAAGGCGTATCGTGATGTCACTAGGCAATAGGAGCTGCTCAGCTTTATTATCATCTTAGGGGACAGCTGTGCCATGCAGGGTCCCTTGTTGACCTAAACGTCATCATGCAGCACGTGGCCGTAGTGAAGTCCAGGAGCCTGTGGCTTGCTCCACTCAGGCCATCCACCGCCAGCCCTGCAGACCCCAGGAAATCAGTTTCCCCCAACACCCACTCCAAGCCTGCAGGCTCATGTATGTCCTCAGAATCGTACAGGGTTTGGGTGCAGTGTGTTCTCTCTGTGTGAGAATACCCCACCAGTCACCACCAGGTGTACTCTGAGCATGGTTTTGTGTCCCCCAAAGCGTGCCAGGGTGGGTCCCAGAGGCCCTGCAGCGGGAATGGCCACTGCAGCGGAGACGGCAGCAGACAGGGTGACGGGTCCTGCCGGTGCCACGTGGGGTACCAGGGCCCACTGTGCACTGACTGCATGGACGGCTACTTCAGCTCGCTCCGGAACGAGACCCACAGCGTCTGCACAGGTACGGGCTACGCCTGGGCCGGCCCCGGGGTGAGGCAGGATGACAACAGCCGCTTGCTGGAGCTGCCTGCCTAGATGGGAACAGGGGCCTGCTGATATCCTAACCCCGGATGTCCAGGGAAGCTTCGGGGGCCCAGAAGGATGAATTAAAACGTCAGGAGATAGAGGCAGGGGTTGTTAGGGGCGCTTCCTGTCCCATAACAGCCCCCAGAAGGGAGAAGCTACTCACCTTCCTCTCTAGTTCGAGGTCTGCCCCGACCTTGAGTTGTGATGGGCCACACAGTGCACAGGTCCTGGAGGTACCATGTGGGCCGTGCACCGGCCCAGAGAGCAGCACCTGTCAAATCCCTGCAGGCCATTATGAGTGGCATCTTTCCAAAGGACGTTTTCTCCCTGGTTGTCACTGATACGTAGGAAAACTCTGGGTGTGTTGACATCTTGGACATGAGTGCATGGTTGGCCGGTAACCCCCTAGGCTATTCTGGGCAGACAGACCTGTGGATCGCCAGTCAGGACCGGCCTCTCTGGTTCTTACACCCCTTGCCATCTGTCTCTTGGATGTTGGCATGGCATGGGGCACGTGTGGATCCGGAACACGCACACCCAGCCAGGCTACAGCTCCAGAGTACGGATAGCTGCCTTCTCCAGGTTATTAAAAATTCCTTGGAGTCCTGATTTGCTGAGAATTTTAAATTCATGGGCACTGAAAACCCCATGTTGCTTTTTCCCCTTAAATTCCTCACTTTTAAACAAGCTGGTACCTGAGAGGGGGGTTCGTACCCAGGCCCGCCTTTGCCTTCCAGCCTGCGACGAGTCCTGCAAGACGTGCTCGGGCCCGACCAACAGAGACTGCGGCGAGTGCGAAGTGGGCTGGGTGCTGGACGAGGGCGCCTGCGTGGGTGAGGAGGGGTCCGGGGGTGGAGGAGGGCGCCTGCGTGGGTGAGGAGGGGTCCGGGGGTGGACGAGGGCGCCTGCGTGGGTGAGGAGGGGTCCGGGGGTGGAGGAGGGCACCCGCGTGGGTGAGGAGCGGCCCGGGGGTGGAGGAGGGCGCCCGCGTGGGTGAGGAGGGGTCCGGGGGTGGAGGAGGGCGCCTGCGTGGATGAGGAGGGGTCCGGGGGTGGGGGCTCCCCAAGGTCCGCTTCTGCCCAGCCTCTGTGTCCCCGTCCCGCCAGCTGCTCCTGGTTCACGGCCCTCCCCATCTCTGCTCATTCTGGGTCATGGAGGGGGATCGTTGAGGGGACTCCTAGGCTCCCACACCTGTGATCCCACCATGCACGGGTCAGGAAGGATCATGGGACTTCCTTCGTACCTTCTGGACTGGGCAGGCATCGGGGCCACAGTGTCCTTGCTGTCAGGTGGCCCTGGGGCTGTGGACCTGTGGTGCCAGCTGCCCCGAGTCGGCCGACAGCTCCGGGGAACTCATCCGAGTGTGTTCCTGGGTGGGAGGCCGCCGGCAGGGGCCAGCTGTATCCCTCTGTGCGGGTTTCAGAAGACACACGGATGGGGCATATCAGGGTGGTCCTGGCTGCACCCATGGTGGCAGAGGCTGGTGGGTCCCGGGGGATGTGGGAAAGGGCAGGGCACAGTGGCACAGCCAGGTCTGGGAGCAGGCAGAAGGGCAGGGCCGTGCTGCTGGCATGTGCAATGGAAACTGCCTTTTCCCGCAGACGGCAAGCTCAGGGTGGCAGGGGGCTGCCCACGAGCTCCTGCTGTCCGAGGGGTACGGCCCCCTACTCACACCAGTGTGACAAGCCAGCTCCGTGCCTGGCAGTGCTCAGCCAGGAGGGGGACGTCACCTCCTAACACAGGCCTCCAGGTTTTAAGTGGTGCCAGGTCTGGACGTCTCCAGCATTGTGCTATGCTCACCCCACCCTGTCCCCCACATGGTGGGCATCACCTGCTTCAGCTGTGTCTCTTCCCGCCAGCCTGGCTATGGGCACAGCACTTACAAAGCCAGCCCTGCAGCGCCTCTGAGCTCTGGAGAAGCCAAAGGCTCTGGCTTCATGGGGAGGGTCTGGGACTAGCTGTGGCTTTCCCGCAGTCCAGGTGCCCAGTGGGTGTGGTGGCTCACGCTTGTAATCCCAGCACTTTGGGAGGCTGAGGCAGGTGGATCACGAGGTCAGGAGATCGAGACACTCCTGGCTAACACAGTGAAACCCCATCTCTACTAAAAATACAAAAACTTAGCCGGGCGTGGTGGCGGGCACCTGTAGTCCCAGCCACTCGGGAGGCTGGGGCAGGAGAATGGCGTGAACCTGGGAGGCAGAGCTTGCAGTGAGCCAAGGTCGCACCACTGAACTCCAGCCCGGTCAAAAGAGCGAGACTCTGTCTCAAAAAAAAAAAAAAAAAAAATTGGAGCTCAGCCCCTGGCAGGTTCCACAGCTCTGGGGAGAAGGGAGAGGGATGTGGGGGCGTGAGGTGTGGAGGCTCTCACTGTCTCACCCTCACGCGATGCGTCACCATCCTCACGGGGCCCCTGCCACAGTTGGCACTGACTCTGTAAGGACAGGGCCTGGCCATCGCCTTATCCCCTCCCCTGCCACGTGGGACCTCCGAGGAGGACATTTGAGATGATCCCCCCAGGGGCTGCCCTCCTCCCTGCCCTTCCCCAGCCAGTCCTGGCCGTGGGCTGTATCAGGCCATGATCATTCCTCCTGCTCCCTGGCCAGGCCGTCCTGGGCCGCTCACAGCTGTGCCATTCTGTTCCAGACGTGGACGAGTGTGCGGCCGAGACGCCCCCCTGCAGCGCTGCACAGTTCTGTAAGAATGCCAACGGCTCCTACACGTGCGAAGGTGGGTCCAGCAGGTGGGCCTGCACTCCGGGTCCCTCCTGGGTTTCATTGCTGTCTTTGTAAACATTCATTTATGACTTCTTAGCATCACTTATATACCTCCTGCCTGCTCTGAGAACACTTAGTGTGGCAAAATAAGTCATAGGTATTTGCTGTAGGAAAATCAGAAAATTCAAGTAAGTTAAAGAAAATTAAAAACCCACGAGTTCCCTGGAGAGCGCACCCTGCTCGTGCCCCCCAGCGCCCCCACAACGTGCCCTGTGTGATTTTCCACAGCACCTGTCGGTGTTTTCCACCCAGCAGCTTGTCCTGTGTCCTGTGGTTTCTCCATCATGTTCATGATTTTGGAGCATGCCATTGTTTCATACGTTTAAAACAATGTCTATTGCTGGACATTTACGTCATAACAATTTTTCAACTGTTATCAACTGTGAATACTCTTGAAGGTAAAACTTTTCACATTCCTTATGATTTTCTTTGGATTAATTTCCAAATCGCTCAGTCAAGGAAATGTGTCTTTTAGGGCCATACTGCCCCAGAAGAGTTGTGCCGATCCCCAGTCCCAGCAGTAGGAAGGAGCCTCTGTGACAGCCCCGGGCAGTTTTCACTGTTGGGAGTGCAGACAGCAGGACCCTCAGTGAGCCACTACACTGGAAGCCATGCTAGAGGCTCCCCGGCGTGTGGGGGTCCCATGCTAGAGGCTCCCCGGCGTGTGGGGGTCCCATGCTAGAGGCTCCCCAGCATGTGGGGGTCCGACACCGGCTCCCCGGCGTGTGGGGGTCCGATGCCGGCTCCCCGGCATGTGGGGGTCCCATGCTAGAGGCTCACCAGCGTGTAGGGGTCCCATGCTAGAGGTTCCCCGGCATGTGGGGGTCCGACGCCAGCTCCCCGGCGTGTGGGGGTCTGACGCTGGCTCCCTATTGCAGAGTGTGACTCCAGCTGTGTGGGCTGCACAGGGGAAGGCCCAGAAAACTGTAAAGAGTGTATCCCCGGCTACGCAAGGGAGCATGGACAGTGTGCAGGTCAGTGACGGGGTCTGTGCTGGACGCAGGTGGACCCTTCCCAAGGGACCATGATGTGAATGGCCCCAGGAGGTACTGCCAGGGATGGGAAGCAGCTGAGACCCGTCCTGCAGACGCAGCTCCCCAGGGTCACTGCGCACTCACCCTGAGGTCCACAAGATGCAGAAGCAGTGGGGGTGGGGGATGAGCTCTGCATGGCCGACCCTGGTGTAGATGGCACTGCTGCACCAGCCTCTCCCCAGTGGCCTCGTTCCCCAGGTCCAGAGCCTCTGCTTTCTCTCCAGCTCCTGGGTGGTGCTTGCCTCGAGGCTTAAGGCCAGGCCTGCCATGGTTGTGGGCTGCCTGGGTGAGCCTGGGCGTGGCTGGAATCCAGGTGGAGAAACTGGGCTTCCTGACCAGGCGCGGTGGCTCATGCCTGTAATCCCAGCACTTTGGGAGGCCAAGGCGGGTGGATCACGAGGTCAGGAGATCGAGACCATCCTGGCTAACACGGTGAAACCCCGTCTCTACTAAAAATACAAAAACTTAGCCAGGCGTGGTGGCGGGCACCCGTAGTCCCAGCTACTTGGGAGGCTGAGGCAGGAGAATGGCGTGAACCCGGGAGGCGGAGCTTGCAGTGAGCTGAGACCACGCCACTGCACTCCAGCCTGGGCGAGAGTGAGACTCCGTCTCCAAAAAAAAAGAAAAGAGGCCGGGCGCGGTGGCTCAAGCCTGTAATCCCAGCACTTTGGGAGGCTGAGACGGGCGGATCACGAGGTCAGGAGATCGAGACCATCCTGGCTAACACGGTGAAACCCCGTCTCTACTAAAAAATACAAAAAAACTAGCCGGGTGAGGTGGCTCAAGCCTGTAATCCCAGCTACTCAGGAGGCTGAGGCAGGAGAATGGTGTGAACCCGGGAGGCGGAGCTTGCAGTGAGCCGAGATCCGGCCACAGCACTCCAGCCTGGGTGACAGAGTGAGACTCTGTCTCAAAAAAAAAAAAAAAAAAAAAAAAAGAAAAGAAAGTGGGCTTCTTGGGCACATGCCAGCCTTCTGCCCTCACCTGGAGGTCTCTTCTCTGCATTTTCTACCAGTTGAGGGCCCAACTTTGAGACATGAAATTCTGCCCTCTTGAAGCCTTTCCTGACCTTTGCTCCTTTCTGTAACATGACGTTTGTCATCGTTGTGCTTTCTTTATGTGAGTGAATCTGAATGAATGAGTTTCACAGTCTGCTGCACATCTGCTAAGTGGAGTAATTATTAAAACGGAGTCTTTTAATTTTAGATGTAGATGAGTGCTCACTAGCAGAAAAAGCCTGTGTGAGGAAAAACGAAAACTGCTACAATACTCCAGGGAGCTACGTCTGCGTGTGTCCTGACGGCTTCGAAGAAACTGAAGATGCCTGTGTGCCGCCGGCAGAGGCTGGTGAGTGGCGCGGCTCCCTCCACACGGGCTCCCCCACGGCCCCCCACACACGGGCCCCCTCCACACGGCCCCCTCCACACGGGCTCCCCACACACGGGCTCCCCCCACACGGGCCCCCTCCACACGGCCCCCTCCACACGGCCCCCTCCACACGGGCTCCCCCCGCACGGCCCCCCCCCACACGGGCTCCCCCCACACGGGCCCCTCCACACGGGGCCCCCTCCACACGGGCTCCCCACACGGGCTCCCCCACACGGCCCCCTCCACACGGCCCCCCCACACGGGCTCCCCCCCGGCCCCCCCACACGGCCCCCCACACGGGCCCCCCACACGGGCCCCCTCCACACGGGCTCCCCCCACACGGGCTCCCCCCACGGCCCCCCACACGGCCCCTCCACACGGGCTCCCCCCACACGGGCTCCCTCCACACGGCCCCCCTCCACACGGGCCCCCCCCACACTGGCTCCCTCTACTCGGGCCCCCTCCACACGGGCCCCCACCACACGGGCTCCCCCCACACGGGCTCCCCCCACACGGGCCCACTCCACACGGCTCCCCCCGCAGGGCCCCCCCCGCCCCCCCCACGGCTCCCCCCACACGGGCTCCCCCCACACGGGCCCCTCCACACGGGCTCCCCCCACACGGGCCCCCCTCCACACGGGCTCCCCCACACGGGCCCCCTCCACACGGGCTCCCCTGACACAGACTACCCTCCACACGGGCCCCCTCCACACGGGCTCCCCCCACACAGACTACCCTCCACACGGGCCCCCTCCACACGGGCTCCCCCTCCGCACGGGCCCCCTCCACACGAGCTCCCTCCACACGGGCTCCCTCCACACAGACTACCCTCCACACGGGCCCCTCCCACGGCTCCCCCACACGGCTCCCTCCACACGCCCCTCCACACGGGCTCCCCCCACACGGGCTCCCCCGACACGGGCCGCCTCCACACGGGCTCCCCCCACACAGGCTCCCTCCACACAGACTGACCCCTACACAGGCTCCCTCCACACAGACTGACCCCTACACAGGCTCCCTCCACACAGGCTCTCTCCACACGAGCTCCCCCAACATGGGCTGCCTCCCCTGGACCTCAGGGCTTGCAGGTAGACTGGCTGCTTGGTCTGAAATCCACACAGACAGTGGCCTTGGGATAGTGAGAGGGGGCTTCCCGGAAGACAGGTGCATAACACCTCTGTGTGGGCACACTTGCACAGAGAGGTACCGGCTTCCTGAGGATGAAGCCCCAGGTTCACAGCTCACACGGAAGTTAAGGCGATGAAAAGGGAAGTCTCTGAACCTCCAACCTCAGCAGGCAAGGAGGAGCAGACAGAAGAGGCAGCTGAGGATCTGGAAAAGTCATCTGGGGAAGCTGCCCAGGGTGCCACAGAGACAGGGACTGGCAGGAAGTGGTGAAGGGCAAGCAGGTCCCCCATGCCTGTTTCCTGGAGCTGCCTTACCAAGAACCAGGGACTCCGTCTCCAGCAACAGAAATGTGCCTCTCACAGATCTGGAGCCAGAAGTCAGAGGCCCAGATGCAAGCAGGCTGCTTCCTTGGGAGGCTGGGCAGGCACATCTGTTCCGGGCCTCTGTCCCTGCCTGGGGACGCCACCTGCTCCCCGTGTCTTCACATAGTCCCATGCGGTGTCTACAAACCTCCCCTCTTCGTAAGAACACCGGTCACTAATGCCCTCGTGTTAACTTAGCCATCTCTAAAGACCCTATTTCCAAACAAGGTCACAATCCCAGGTGCTGGGAGTAAAGACTTCAGCATCTTTTGGGGGGCACAGCTCTGCCCACAACAGTCCTCACAGAAGTCTAGAATACAGAGTGTGGGAAAGAAGCAGCATTCAAGGAGATGTTGGCTAAGGGTTTTTCAGAATGAATAAGGCAGGATTCAGATTCCAGAAGCTGTTTCCTGAGCAGGACAAATAAAAGCAATTCCACCTCTAGAAGCATCGTAGTAAACAGCAACAGCAAGACAGGAGAACTGAGGGGTCGGCAGAGACAGACAGGCAAGAGGACAAGGCTGTCTGCCACCCCTTCAGTCCCCTCTTGCCCCTCCCTCCCCTCACCCTCGGTCCCCTCTTGCCCCTCCCTCCCCCCCCACCCTCGGTCCCCTCTTGCCCTTCCCTCCCCCCCACCCTCGGTCCCCTCTTGCCCCTCCCTCCCCCCCACCCTCCGTCCCCTCTTGCCCCTCCCTCCCCCCCACCCTCCGTCCCCTCTTGCCCCTCCTTCCCCTCACCCTTGGTCCCCTCTTGCTCCTCCCTCCCCCCCACCCTCCGCCCCCTCTTGCCCCTCCCTCCTACCACCACCCTGGGTCCCCTCTTTCTCCTCCCCCCACCACCATTGCTCAGGCTCCCATTCTACCGGGCTGCAAGGAACCCCTTGCCGCTCCCATCTCCGCATCCTCCACACCCAAGGCATTGCGGCGGCTTTGAAATCCCTTCTGCCTCATCTCTCATCTGCTGTGGGGGGAACCGGGGGTCTCCGAGCTGCCCTTGGACCACTGCGTCTGGGGCCTTGAGCCAGGACTGGACAGGCAGTCCCTGCACCTGCTGCTGTCCCGGGAAAGGCCTCGTCCCCAGGGCCCTTCGTGCCGAGCTTTGACGACCTGTGCTTGTTTTCTGACAGAAGCCACAGAAGAAGAAAGCCCGACACAGCTGCCCGCCCACGAAGACCTGTAACGTGCTAGACTTGCCCTTTAAATTATTCAGAAGGACGTCCTGTGGAAAATGTGGCCCCGAGGATGTGTCCCCTGCAGTGGACAGCGGGAGGGAGAAGCTGCCTGGTCTCTAATGGTTGATTCTCATTTGGCCCTTAAACAGCTGCATTTCTTGGTGGTTCTTAAACAGACTTGTATATTTTGATACAGTTCTTTGTAATAAAATTGACCATTGAAGGTAATCAGGAGAACGGGTATGGGTTTGTCTCATTAATCAGGACAGACCTTTACCACTGAGTTTGCACCTGTCCTGCCAGAGCCGGGAGGTGACCAGGGCTGCCGAGGTCTGCAGAGGCAGCAGGTCTGGTCCTGGGCTGGTGGCTCTGCTGTCCCTGAACAGGACTCACGTGCCGCTTGGGGGAGAAGAGGAGGAGGGAAGGAGGGGAGGAGAGGAGTAGGGGAGGGCCCTCCCCCTCCCCCTCCCCCTCCCCCTCCCCCTCCCCCTCCCCCTCCCTCGGGCGAGAACCTAAAGACGTGACCAGGTGGGTTTCAGGGGTCCCACCTATGGGCCCCTCTTCAGTGATTCAAAGGATGTACAAGCAGGGACCCTCGGGCAGAGGAAAGGCATCTTTGGGGGCTTCGCTGGAAGAAACCCAATCACAAACCCCAGGGCCCGCCTGTTCCTCACCTGGGAATGAAGACACTCCAAGAAGAAAGCTGGCTGCAGGTGAGAGGTTGCAGACTCTGGGAGCTCCCTCTGAGGGGCCACGGCTTCCTCCCTGGGCCTCCCACTTGGCCTGGTCCCCCTCACCCACTCCTCAGTCACGCCGTCCCTCCTGTCCGTGCCAATGTCCCCCAGGGGTAGGTGGCTGGCTGGCCTGCTCCTGCCCTGGCCCCCCTTCCCAGGCTGTGCACTGTCCTGGCACTACTGACCCCCATGTCCACACTGTTCTGTGCCCATGAACCCCACCTCAGTGCACCTGTGCTCACTGGGCTCCAGGTGGTCATGCTCACCTGGGTATTGGAAGAGCCCTGCTGTAGGACTCTGCCCTGTGGGTCCCTGACAGGCAGAGGCGGCCACAGCCCACTTGGCAGGCTGAGTGGTGAGTGGTGCCTGGCCCTGCATCTCGCCTCTGGTTCTTCCTGAGTCAGTTGCACTCAGCAGCCTCACTGCCTCTCCTCTTCTCCCTCTAACCCTAGGCCAGGGCGCCCCAAATCCCTGGAGGGGGCACAGCTCAGCTTGGGCAAGATGGGGGCTGCTCTTGTCCACTTCAGTCCTTTCAGGCAGTGTCCGCTTCACGTGCCAATGGAACCACCTAGAGATGGCGTCCCGGCCGTGCAGACCAAGGGCAGAGGCCAGAGGGGCGGGGGCTGTGTGGGCCCTTGGGGGACTCAGAAAGTGGGGTCAGAGCATGGCAGAGAGTCCACAGGGATGGCCATGGAAAGAAGTAGGGGAACACCAGCTGAGGCCCTGGGGGGCCAAGCACCTGAGTCTCCTGTGGGAGGGTGGAGCTACCCATGGGTGGGCGGGAACTAGGCGACCCCAGCGGGAAGCCCTGAAGGCAGGCCCGGTCCCTGGGAGGTACCTGGGGGAGGAGTAGAGGGCACAGCCAGGGAGGAGGACCCAGGCAGGGGCTGGCCCAGGGCCACCTTGTGCACCCCCACGTGCGCAGACAGGCGTCTCCCATGTCCCTCACATCCCTGCCCCGCTCAGCCCTGTGGAGCCGCCATCAATCAGGTAGGACTGCAGCCGGGTCTGGGACCCCCGCCCTACCTTTCAGCCGATACCTCTGTCCTGCTCCTGCCCTAGTTCCCCTCCCCTGACCATGCACCGTCCTGGTACTACTGACCCCCATGTCCAGGCTGGGGGCGTCAAGGACAGGAGGTGTACAGGCCAGGGGCCCCGGTTCCGGACCCTGGGAGCAGGATCCCGGGCGCGCAGCAGAGACGACCCCAGTTTCCACCTTGTCGCCAGTGAACTCTAGGGAGTCCTCAGCGGGCATCGGGGCCATCCAGGAGGGGTCCCTGTAGGACACGGGGGACGGGGGCTGGCGGGGGCGGTTGAGCAGGAATGGGGGACGACCCCGCGGGCAGAGCCGGGGCCGGGGCAGGGGCGAGAGCGTAGGCAGGGTCCTTGGGACCGTGGGGCTGGGGTCCACCTGCCCAGGTGCTCGAGGGGCGCCTGCGGGGCTGGGGTTGGAGCTGGGACCGGGAGCGCCGCCTCCTGGGGGGGACTCTGGCCCGCCCCTCCCCACGCGGTGCCGCCCGCGCCCCGCCAGCTCCCACCCGACGCAGCGGACCCAGCCTCAGACTGCGACCCCTGCCCGGGCCCAGCTGGCGGACCGCGGGGCCGCACACGCGCTCCCGCCCCTCGGAGTCGCCCGGCCCGGGCCGAGGACCTGGGCGCGCGCGGCCGACAGGTGGCGCTGTGGGACCGCCCTGCCCGGCTCGGATCCCGGGACTTGGCCGGCTCCTGTCCACTGCACCTGCCCCGTCGCACCTCTGCGCTGCCAGGGCCTCTTTCTAAAAGGGGAACTTGGAAGAGTGAGGTTGGGGTGAACTGTGGACCTCCGCTGTCCTTCTGGGCCCAGGCAGAGACTCTGCCATAGCCCTGGGGGAGCCCCACCCTGTGGGAGCCGGGACTGGGGACTGCAGGGCCTAGAGGGCCTCCACTTTGGTTCCCAGACCCCAGCATCTTGCTTTGGCGCATACACAGGTCCTGGGGGTGGCTTCCATCCCCACAGGGCATGCCTTGTCAGGCTAGAAGCTTCTAGAAATGCCCTCGGTCAAGCCCACCCCTGAGTTTGCTGTAAACGCGTCCCTTGGTCAAATGCAACAGACACTGGGCGGGATCCGCAGGATGAGATGTTCTGTGAGCCAGCGGTTCTCAATAGGCAGCTGTCATGTCCCCCAGGGGACAGGGGACCACCTCTGGAGGTGCTGTGGGTTGTCACGACCTGGTGAGGAGTGCTCCCACCAGGGCACAGGACACCTTGCCACAGAGGACGGCCCCCACCAGAGGATGAGCCAGCTCCCGCTGACACCAAGGCGGACAGACGCTCAGGGCAGTCCCTGGACAGTGGCCTGGACCTCAGCCAAGCTGTGTTAGACAGGGAGGCGGCAATGGTATGAATGTGGGTCTGCTCTGGGAACACGAATCATGGGGTGGGGTCCGCACAGGCCAGGACAACCTATGTGTGCCGCCTCCTGCTGTCCTGGATGTACCACATCCCCCTGAAGACAACCGCTGCCTGCTCAGCCTCATGATGGGGCAGGTCTAAGAGCCAGTGACAGCGAGCAAGGCAGAGACACACCCATGGGGCATCCCATGGCCAGACCGTGCATCTCCGCAGGGGCCCAGAACCACGGCAAGAGTCCTCGATGCAGGCACGCAACACCCACTGCGGATAGCACGGCCCTCCTCTGCACTTGCCTGTGGTTAGGGTCTTCCATGGGCACTTGACTTTAAACCCCCACCCCTTACCACCCGTGCCTTTGGTCTGCAGGGTCAGATTGTTAAGTAGCAACCAGGACACGGGAGCTGGGCTTGGACGGCGGTAGAGCTGGTTCTGCTCTGTGCCTGTTCAGAGTTGTCCTTTCATGTCCCCCAGTATTGGGTTGGAACAGAGTCCCCAAATGTGGAATATGCTCTTCAAGCTCCCAGAAGCCTTCCAGGTGCTGTGTGTCCTGGCAGGGGCTGCGAGAGGCAGTCACTTATCTGTCCTCTACTTTGGAGGGGATTCTCTCACTCAGGAGGGCCCAGTGTGCTCACCACGTCTTGCTCATCTGGTCTCATTAGCACAGGGCCATCGATAGAGGGGGCCAGTGTGACGTCCTGGGGACATTCATTCAGCTGGTGCCGGTCTCTGGATTCTTGGGAGAGAGGCAGGAATGTTACCATAGCCCATAGCTCTGGGGAGGAACTGGCTGTTTCCTGTTTTGAGTTCCAAGGCAGTGTGACTGATCTTCCTGCCAGGCAGCAGATGGAGAAGAATGCGCACCCAGCAGCGGCCTCACCGCACACCTGGACAGGCTGGGGAACCCTCTCTAGCAAAGGCACCGCATCTAGCTGGGTTATTTTTGCAACAGTCCAAAATAACTGGTGTTGCACATCTTCCTCTGAGGGACTCAGCCTTCACTTCAGTGACTGTTCTCTGGGTCAGAAACCCACTCAGGTCTAGAAACTGGGCAGCGTCATGACATATATATATGTGTGTGTGTATATATACACGTATACATATGTGTGTGTGTGTATATATATATATATACAGAGAGAGAGAGAGACAGAGTCTGGCTCTGTTGCCCAGGCTGGAGTGCAGTGGCATGATCTTGGCTCACTGCAAGCTCCACCTCCCAGGTTCACGCCATTCTCCTGTCTCAGCCTCCCAAGTAGCTGGGACCACAGGCGCCCACCACCATGCCCCACTAATTTTTTGCATTTTTAGTAGATACGGGGTTTCACCTTGTTGGCCAGGATGGTCTCGATCTCCTGACCTCGTGCTCTGCTCGCCTCTGCCTCCCAAAGTGCTGGGATTACAGGCGTGAGCCACTGCGCCCGACCCTATTTATTTATTTTTGAGACAGAGTCTCACTCTGTCACCCAGGCTGGAGTGCAGTGGCACAATCTCGGCTCACTGCAGCCTCCACCTCCTGGGTTCAAGCAATTCTCCTGCCTCAGCCTCCCAAGTAGCTGGAATTACAGGCATGCACCACCACGCCCAGCTAATTTTTGTATTTTTTGTAGACATGGGGTTTCACCATGTTGGTCAGGCTGATCTTGAACTCCTGACCTCGTGATCTGCCCACTCCAGCCTCCTAAAGTGCTAGGATTACAAGTGTGAGCCACCACGCCCAGCCTTATTTACTTATTTTTGAGACAGTCTCTCTGTGTTGCCCAGGCTAGAGTGCAGTGGCGCAATCTCAGCTCACTGCAACACCTCCCAGATTCAAGCAATTCTCCTGCCTCAGCTTCCTGAGTAGCTGAGATTACAGGCACCTGCCACCATGCCCAGCTAACTGTTGTATTTTTAGTAGAGATGGGGTTTCACTATGTTGAGCAGGCTGGTCTTGAACTCCCGATCTCAAGGTGATCCACCTGCCTCGGCCTTGCAAAATGCTGCGATTTCCGGCTTGAGCCACCGCTACTGGCCATGACTTTTTATTGGAGAGAGTGCCCTTGGCCTCCCCATCACACAACCCTGATTTCTTCTGCTCCAACAAGCTGAGCAGTCTCTTGTGGGCTGCCTGTCCCTCTCCTAGGAACATGGTGTTCTACCAGTTACCTCCACAACCCCACGCGGCTCTGGCCCTTGGCCCCGCTCCAGCCCTGCAACTCTAATTAAAGCTGCCTCCACAGCCACTGATGGTCAAACGCTGCCGCCTGGCTGCCACCCCTGTCCCTGTCGGCCAGTCCAGTGCTGTGACCGTCCCCTGCTCTCAGTTCCAGAGGATGGCGGGCTCCGTGGTGTCACAGGCCTTTCAGCCCCCGTCTGCAGTGGCTGCTCTGACATTCACCCCTCTTCACGTGTGTCCCGCGCTCCAGGAGCCTCTGAACCGTGAAACAGAGCAGCAGAGGACACCGCCTCCTGGGGTCCTCGTCCTCAGAAAAGGATCCACAACCCACAAGCTCTCCACCATCCACCCCACGCAGCTTATCTGGCTGGGCACAGCTGCGGGTCCTGGGTTCCTTCAGGCTGTGGCCCCTTTGTCACTGGGCCAGCACGTCCCCACCAGGATACACTGCAACTTAATCCCAGGAGGGTCTCGGGCAGGTCCTGGGGAGCTGGGAGAGGGGGCCGGCCTCTCCCACGGAGAAGGCACGGTTTGGAGACGTCCTGTTTCTTCCCAGCCAGCACCGTGGCCCGAGCACAGCAGACCCCAGGGGTAGGGTCACCTATTGGGAGCCGGCCCCTTTGGCCACCGAGTCTGTGCGTGTTCTCCGGGCCTCTCCATGCAGTCTTCTGTTGCTTTTCCAGAACTTCAGGGGCGGGCACCAGCAGCCCACCGAGGACACTGTTCTCAAGGTTGTGCCCCCCGGACTCTCACCCCAGGCTCACTCACCACAAGAGTGCAGGCCCCTCCCCGTCGCCGTCCACTGCCAGTGGTGCCCGCTGGACAGAGCGAGAGCCTTTGCCTGCACACCTCCCTGGCGCTGCCTGTCTGTGGCTGGCTCCAGAGCGGCAGGCGGCCGCAGCGCCTCAGCCATGTCCTCAGCTGACCCAGGGGCTGGGTGAGGTGAGGCAGCCTGAGACTGCTCCAGCGTGCTGAGCTGTGAGGAGGGGGCTGGGCCTTTGGCCCCCAGAGTGTTACTCAGAGGGTATGACCTTCAGCGGGGTGCCCTCCTCAGCCTGCTCCCCACTGCTTCCTCAGCCCCCCTGCTCCGGCTCTGTCCCTTTTCAGATTCCCAGGCCCCTGCAGGCCTGGGGTGGGGAAGCTGCCTGCCACCTGGGACAGGTGGTCATCACTGGCGCGACTCAGGGTGGGGGACCCTGGCCCAGTGGCCCTGCCGTCCTCCCCATGTGCCCATGGCCAGCACGTGGGTGTGGACTGAGCCTGTGCCAGGTGGGCCCTGGGGGTTGGGGGGTTGGAAGGGACCAGGTACTGCAGGGGAATGGGGGACGGCGTCGGGGGCCAGAAAGGGTTGCTGTGATGTGGCTGGTGGGGCCGCCTGCTCTCAAGCCACACACACCCCCTCCAGGCCCAGTGCCCCTCCCCGCCTCCCTGGGGCTGGGGTCTTCCCAAACCCCAAGCCGGCTGCTCTGCACCAGTGAGGAGCCAGGCCTGGCCTGAGGGGGCTGTAGGGCACCCACCTCTCCAGAGACCACCTCCACCCACTCCCGGGGGATCCTTCCGGAGAGACCTTTCCCAGCCGCGAGCAGGGTCCGCTCTCCCCACAGTCTGGACTTTGGGAGGATCCCCCCAGAGCCAGGGAGGGGTACCTGGTCCCTTACCCCTCAAACAGCAGTCCAGGGCCAGCGTCCTTCTGCGCTCACCCACCCGCCTGCGACCGGGCTCTCTGGGCCACAGGGCAGCCACCACTCGAGAGTCAACCGCAAGCCTCCGGGTCCCGCCTGGGAGCGGTGACTGGTGGCCGCGGTGGGGGTGGGGAGCGGACAGCCACCGGGGATTCCCCCCACCTAGGCCCCCCTCCAGCCTCTGTCCGGCGCCCCGGTCCACGGTCTGCCCGCTGCAGAGGAAGAACCCCGCCCTGCGCAGAGCGGGCTTGGGAGACCCCGGCGGGCGGCGGGGCCAGGGGTGGGGCGCGGGGGCGGTGTTGCTCCCGCGGGCGGGAAGCTCGGGGCGCGGCCCTGCCGGGAAAGGGGCGGTGCCGGAAGCGTCAGCTGGCCTTTCCCCGGCTAGAGGAGGCGGGGAGCAGATGGGGGTGCCACGAGGAGGTGGGGGGAGGGGACGCAATGGAGGCGCCGGGGTGCAGTGAAGAGCGAGACTGGGGCAGAGACGGGCTCAGGGACTGGGACAGGGGGATAAAGGTCTGGGAAGGAGCAGGTGTTGGGGGCGGAGGGCGCGGGGGGAAGTGGGGGAGCGGAGAGGAGCAGGGTGGGAGCGGAGTGGAGGGTGGGGGTCCGGGAGGAGTAAGGGCAGAGGGGAGGGGTGGGGGTCCGGGAGGAGCAGGAGTGCGGGCGGATGGGAGGGTGGGGATCTGCGAGGAGCAGGGGTGGGGCAAAGGGGAGAGTGAGGGGGGGTTCAGAAGGAGCAGGGGTTGGGGCGGAGGGGAGGGTGGGGGTCTGGGAGGAGCAGGGGTGGGGGCGGAGGGGAGGGTGGGGGGTCTGTGAGGAGCAGGGATTGGGGAGGAGGGGAGGCTGCGGGTCCAGGAGAAGCAGGGGTGGGGGGTGTGGGGCCTGGGGTGAGCAGGGGTGGGGGCGGAGGGGAGGGTGGGGGTCCGAGAGAAGCAGGAGTTGAGGGGGTGGGGCCTGGGGTTAGCAGGGGTGGAGGGTGTGGGGCCTGGGGTGAGCAGGGTTGGGGACCTGCAGCCCGTGCCCAGCCCCACAGGGACCCGCCCGCGCTCCTCCCCCGCCTCTCCGCCCCCGCGCTCCTCGTCGCTGGGAAACCCCTGCGGGCGCAATGACGATGCGCAGGACGATGGCCGTGAGGGCACAGCCCGAGTTCTGGGGCGTGGGCCGGAGCGCGGTTGGCCTTGACCTTCTTGGAAAGCCCTTGGCGGCAGGTGACTTCGCTTAGTCACGGCCCCGCGGGCGGGGACTCCCCGAGGGAAAGGAGGCCCCGCGGAAGGAGGCGCTGAATGAGACGCATGAGCGCCACCGCCGCCGCCGAACATCCCCAGGGGTGGAAGCCAGGACCTGCGTGCCCAGATCCCCCAGGCCCGGCAGTGGGCTCTGGACACAGCCGGCCCACAGGACGCCTGGCGGGGCCTCCGAGCTTTCCTGTTCTTTTCTGCAGCCTGGCTGGGCTTAGGGAGAGGTGGGGGGGTGCGCCCCTTGATGCTGGGGACGCGTGTGGCACAGGGAGCCGGGTGCAGCCAAGGCCTGGAGGGGTGCCTCCGGCCCGCCCAGATCACGCTTCACCCTTCGTGAGGTCGGGATCTTTGTACAAGCTGGGCGCCACCTGTTTTTTTTTTTTTTTTTCAAAAATGATCAGAGGGAACGAGCCTCAGCCAGGACAGGGGGCTATGAGGCTACCTGTTGCCAGGCCCACCCACCAGCCTGAATTCCGGCAGGGCTCTCCTCCTCCACCCACAGCCCTCCACCCACACCACTCCATCCACACCTCTCCAGTGGCTCCAAGGCCTATCTGATTTGGCCTCAGTTCACCTGTTTACTTCAGGGACACCTGGTTATCCTGCCAGAGGCAGGTTGGGGGGCCTGCAGGGCCAGCCTCTCTCAAATCCACTTCTGGCTGTGGCTGTATGGTCCCCACAGCGCTTCCTTACCCCTTCCCCACGCTGGAATCTGAGAACCAGATATGGGGGTCCTGGTCTCAGCGTCCCTCTCCATCCCGGGTGCCCTGCTGCTGCCAGCTTACACACCCACCATCCCATCCTCAGGGTCAGTGTGGCTGCAGAATGGCCTCTGGGGAGAGTGGGGTGGGGGCTCTAGCCTGGTGTACCCCCAGCCTGCTGTCCCAGGTGAATGCAGACCCCTGGCTCAGCTGCTGACCAGATAACAGTGGCCCTTGTGCCGCAGCCTGGGTGGGGGCTGGGGTACCAGCCCCGGGTGTCTCCAGGCGCAGAATGGCACCCACCCCCACCCCACCCACAGGCAGCGGCCAGCAGGAGACATTGTCCGTCCCCCTCAACCCTGGCTATTAATAGCTCCCTGGGCTAGAAGCGGCTATAAATAGCCCCAGCCCCTCACACAGGCCCATTCAGGCCCGGCTGCCTGGGTGAGCACAGCAGCCACACTTGCACTCACTCAGAGCCGTGCACGCAGGAACTGTGCCACTCCTGCCCCTCCACGCCATCTGCACTGAACAGATCCAGGCTGTCCCTGCAGCCCTCACAGGGTCTCCTGCGGCAGGGGAGGGCTCCGAATGGCTCTGGAGGCTTTTTCTTTGCTCCTCCCGCCACTGCCCAGAGTCCCCTGGGGGCTTCTAGCTACTCCTGGGTCCTACTCTGAGGCTTCTGGAAGTCAAACGCATTTGCCCAAAGCCAGCCTGGGGGGAGGTCCACCTGGAGGGAGGCCCAGCCCCTGCAGAGAACCAAGCCTGGCCTCTGCCCCAAGCACTGCCGCCTCGGGCCATGAGGCTCACAGGGTCCCCCAGCCCAAGGCTGGTCCAGCCTCCCACCTGCCCTGTGGGGCAGACGTCACTGCATTCCTACTCCTTGCCCTGGAGGCCTCATTGCTGTCAACAAGGCTGTGACCCCCACTGTGACTCCCACTGCCAGGGTGATAGGATGGGCAACTGGTCCAGGAGAGCCTGCTCTGTGGACCCCCTACCCGTCCACAATGTCCAGGCTCCGTGGCTGGTGGTGACAGGAGACAGGATGGGGGGCATGGGGGCTGCTGTTATTGTGTCCAGAGGAGAAAAGGAAAACAATCCTGTTTACGGAAAAGGAATGTCTGTCCACTGCCGCCAGCCCGTGGCCTTCCTGGGGGGACAGAGGCCCTTTGTTGGGAAAACAGGAAGCGAGGATTTCCAGGATCTGCCAGGCCGCCCGCCGGCCAACCGCCCCACTTCCGCCAATTCTCGGCAGCCTGCGCTGGCCACCAGCTGCCGGTCTGTCCATCCACGTTTCTGTCTATCCGTCTGACTGTGGGGCCCAGGCGTACAGCCTCAGCACATCCTGCTGTATGTGGTGCCCCAGTCACACAGGGACAAACACCCACGGGGTGTCCTCGGAGGGCCTGGGAGGGCAGCCTGGGAGCTGAGACCCAAGGAGTGGGGACCCGTGCCCCACACAGGGAAGGGCAGTGCCAGACATGGAGCAGGTGCCTGGGGCAGGGGCCATGGGGCAGGAACCAGGGAGGCGGGAACAGCCAAAGGGAAGCTGTGCCAGCCTCTCCCCTCCCCACCCAAGAGCCAGGGACGGTTTTGGGGTTAGGGGTCACTGTGTCCCTACTACCCAAACCCACATCCAGTCCATGGCCCACACGATGCTTGCCTGTCACTGACCTGGGACAGCATGGGCATGAGCTCACCCGCACATGAACACCAGACGTGTGCACGCTCAGCTGACACTCTCACCTGCGCACACACGCACACACCAACACCACAAGCACAGACGCCGGCACCATCACGAGAGTGGAGACCACCCCAGGACACCAGCAGCTGCACCCCCGGTGGGGCTCTGTTGGCCAATGGTGCCCAGGGGACTGCTCCCAGCCCCTGTTGGGGGCTTCTCTGATTCTGTGTGGGTTCCCGTGTGCCCTGTTTGGGCTCTCACTGGTCAGAAGGGGCTGGCACAATGCCTGTGACCACAGTCCTGGGCAGGGGCAGGAGGTGCCATGATCAGGCAGGCCTGGGGCAGGACTCTGTTTAGGCCCAGCTGGAGGACCCTCTGCCCCCACCTCCACATCCCAAGTTGGCAGCTTCCTCCCACTGTGGTGGTGATACAGGAGATAGAAAGAAATTATTTAGGCAGATGGTGAGGGCAAAAGAGTCCTCAGCAGAACTTCCCTTCTAACAAAAAGCAGGCCGGGCAGGGTGGCTCACACCTGTAATCACAGCACTTTGGGAGGCCAAGGCGGGCAGATTGGCCCTGAGGTCAGGAGTTACAGACCATCCTGGCCAACATGGTGAAACCCCATCTCTACTAAAAATACAAAAGTTAGCCAGAGATGATGGTGTGCGCCTGTAATCCCAGCTACTCAGGAGGCAGAGGCAGGAGAAGCACTTGAACCTGGGAGGCGGAGGTTGCAGTGAGCTGAGATCTCGCCACTGCACTCCAACTTGGGTGATAGAGTGAGCGTTAGTCTCAGTAAATAAATAAATAAATAAATAAATAAATAATAGCCAGGTGTGGTGGCAGATGCCTGTAATCCCAGCTACTTGGGAGGCTGAGGCAGGAGAATCCCTTAAACTTGGGAGGCAGAGGCTGCAGTGAGCTGAGATCACACCACTGCACTCTCAGTGTGGGCAACAGAGAGAGACTCCGTCTCAACACAAAACAAAGAAAAGCAAAACGCAGTCCAAGAAATCACTTCTTTTCTAATGAAGAGCAGCCTGGAAGATTAGGCTGCAAGCATAGATCAGGCTGGAAGCTTGCACAGGAGATGGAGGCAGCTGCACAGCTGGAAAGGGCTCCCTGGGGCCAGGAATGTCCACCCTGGGGCTCCATGTCCCTCTTAGTTAGCACATGCACAGTAAGAAAAAAGTGAGTGGCCATGGAGTAGCTGCCCACCTGCCATAATAAAAGATTGGGGTGCTGGCCGGGCGGTGGCTCACGCCTGTTATTCCAGCACTTTGGGAGGCTGAGAAGGGCAGATTACCTGAGGTCAGAAGTTCGAGACCAGCCTGGCCAACATGGTGAAACTCTGTCTCTACCAAAAATACAAAAATTAGCAGGGCATGGGGGCGCATGCCTGTAATCCCAGCTACTCAGGAAGCTGAGTCAGGAGAATTGCTTGAACCCGGGAGGCAGAGGTTGTGGTGGGCCCAGATCGTGCCATTGCACTCCAGCCTGGGCAACAGAAGTGAAACTCTGTCTCAAAAAAAAAAAAAAAAAAAAAAAAAAAAAAGATTGGGGTGTTACACTATGCAGATGGCATGCCTGGTCCCAACCAGTTTGTCATACTCTATGTAGATCAGACACCGCCTCCCCACTAGCTCATCTATAAAAACCTCTGCATTTCATCTTGGATGGGCAACACATTTTTCCAGGACCCCTATCTGTAGCAGAGAGCTGTTCTCTCTCTCCTTTTTATTTTTTTTTTTTTCTTGAGACGGAGGCTCAGTCTGTCATCCAGGCTGGAGTGCAGTGGTGTGATCTCAGCTCACTGCAATCTCCACCTCCCAGGTTCAACCAGGTTCAAGCAATTATCCTGCCTCAGCCTCCTGAGTAGCTGTGATTACAGGTGTGCACCCCACTCCTGGCTAATTTTTGTATTTTCAGTAGAGACGAAGTTTCACCATATTGGTCAGGCTGGTCTCAAACTCCCAACCTCAGGTGATCCGCCTGTCTCAGCATCCCAAAGTGCTGGGATTACAGGCATGAGCCACCATGCCCAGCCTGGACAATCTGCATTTAAAAAGTTTTTTCTTAGGAAGTATGTCAAACGTACATGGCTTGAGCCACAATACCCAGCCTATTCCCTCCCCCCCTCCTCCTCCCCTTCCTCCTTCCTCCCTCCCTCTCCCTTCCCCCTCATCCGTCTCCTCCTCCCCCCTCCCTTCCCCTCTCCTTCCCTCCTCCTTCGCCTATGTCTTTCCCTTCCGATGTCCTTCCTATTTGTCCTTCCTGCTATTACCTTGGCCACCGGTGTCTTTCTTTTTTGAAATGGAGTTTTGCTCTTGTTGCCCAGGCTGGAGTGCAATGGCACAATCTTGGCTCACTGCAACCTCTACCTCCCGGGTTCAAGTGATTCTCCTACCTCAGCCTTCTGAGTAGCTGGGATTATAGGCATGCACCACCACACCTAGTTAATTTTGTATTTTTAGTAGAGATGGGGTTTCTTCATGTTGGTCAGGCTGGTCTTGAACTCCTGACCTCAGGTGATCCACCTGCCTCAGCCTCCCAAAATGCTGAGATTATAGGCTTGAGCCACCATGCCCAGCCTATTCTCTTTCTTTTGCTGATTAAATGTCTGCTTTAACCTCACCCTTCCTGTGTCCTCGTCCTTGATCTCCGTGGCTGCGAGACCAAGAACCTTGGGTGTCACCCCAGAAATGAGGCTGCTTCAGTGAGTCTGTCTTCGGACCCAGGAGACACCTGCCCTGGTGTAGGTGAGGGAGGCCCATGTGGATCTATGATGCCAGGTGGGGAGGGCAGAGGACAGGTGTGAGGGGACAGCTGGAGCAAGACCCCTGGTCAGGAATGCCTCAGTTCAGAGGCCCAGACAGCGCAAGCAGAAGAAGGAGAGGGTGCTGGGAGGATCCGTGGCGGGGACCAATCCAGGGCCTGTGGGTCCTGTGAGGGCTTGAGGTTCACTCCCATCAGGTGGGGCTGCACCAGGAGGCTGTGGCTGAGGCTCAGGGGGTCTCTGCTGCTGAGCACAGGTGGGGACTGGGAGCAGCAGGCTGTGAAAGTCCCAGCCCGTCAGGAGGATGAGCAGTGGCCTGGCTGGATTCCAGGTCTGTTCTAATGTGGAGTTGATGGAACTTTCGGAAGCTGGGGTGAACGGTGAGATGCAGACAATTCCAAGAGTGGACATGGCTTGGGGGACCAGAGCCTCAGCTCACAGCTTGACCCGCCTTTGCAAGAGCCGCTCCCAGGTTCATTTAATGGTGAATGAATGAATGAGCCCACTGTTTATCCAGGCACCACTGCATCATGGCACAAGTGGGCTCTCAGGAAAAACTACTTATTGAATGGTGAATGAATGAATGTGTGAGAGACAGAGTGAGTGAGTGATTGAGTGAATGAGCAAGTGAGTGAATGAGTGATTGAGTGAATGAGTGAGTGAATGAGTAAGTGAATGAGTGATTGAGTGAATGAATGAATGAGTGATTGAGTGGATTAGTGATTGAGTAAATGAGTGAGTGAGTGAACGAGTGATTGAGTGAATGAGTGAGTGATTGAGTGAATGAATGAGTGAGCGAACGAGTAAGCAAATGAGTGACTGAGTGAACAAGTGAGTGAATGAGTGAGTGATTGAGTGAATGAATGAGTGAGCGAACGAGTAAGCAAATGAGTGACTGAGTGAACAAGTGAGTGAATGAATGAGTGATTGAGTGAATTAGTGATTGAGTGAATGAATGAGTGATTGAGTGAACAAGTGAGTGAATGAGTGATTGAATGAGTAAGTGAATGAGTGGTTGAGTGAATGAGTGAGTGAGTGAATAAGTGATTGAATGAGTGAATGAGTGAGTGAATGAATGAGTGAATGAGTGAGTGAGTGAATAGATGAGTGAATGAGTGAGTGAATGAGTGATTGAGTGAATGAGTAGTTGAATGAATGAGTGAATGAGTGAGTGAATGAGTGAGGGAGTGAATCAGTGAGTGAATGAATGAGTGAGTGAACGAGTGATTGAGTGAACGAGTGAGTGAATGAATGAGTGAGTAAGTGAATGAGTGATTGAGTGAATGAGTGATTGAGTGAGTGAGTGAGTGAATGAGTGAGTGAATGAGTGAGTGAATTAATGAGTGAGTGAGTGAACGAGTAAGTGAATAGATGAGTGAATGATTGAGTGAATGAGTGAGTGAGTGAATAGAGGAGTGAATGAGTGATGGAGTGAATGAGTGATTGAGTGAATGAGTGAGTGAATGAGTGAGTGAGTGAACAGAGGAGTGAATGAGTGATTGAGTGAATGAGTGATTGATTGAGTGAATGAGTGAGTGAGTAAATAGATGAGTGAATGAGTGAGGGAGGGAGTGAGGGAGGGAGGGGGTGAGTGAG